GGCTTCTCTGTTTCTTCTGACATTCGCCTCGCATTTCCGCAACAAAGTTTTCTTTTAAAGAAATATAAAATAGACAAAAGTGCAAATTATAATTACTCAATGATATTTATAAGATGTCCAAAATGATGACAACGATGTAGATGAAGATTTAGAAAACTTTTTAGATAGGCATCCTTTCGAAGCAGAGTCACCTATTATAGCTGGATAAATAGGGCAGTAAATATGTATAACTATATGCTGGCAGAAATGTGTTTTAATGCAAATGAAAGTCCTGCATCCTTCGCACTTAGCACCTTCAACATCACCTACCTCCAATATTCCTCGATCACATAGTCGTTGAGTTTCTTGAACCCGATTCGGGGGATGTTGGGAGAAACAAACAGTCCTCTCAAGGCCTTTAAGTAATTTTTGGCCAATGGTATCATCAACAACATTTAGAGCAAACGACATTTTATAGCACCCAAAAAATAACAGTGTCTGCCTTTTCCATGATAAATTCGGAAAAACGGAAATACGAAAATATATTGGCGTTATATTTATATGTGCGCTAACCCAACTTACGGGGTGTAATGGGGCGTAGTCAAGTTTCCGGTGGAAGCAAAGGAAGAGGAAAACCTCAACTCCGTTGGAAAGACCAGGTAGAGAAGGACCTGACTGTACTTAGTATTTCCATTTGGCGCCAAACAGCAAAAAGAAGAAACGAACGGCGCAATGTTGTTACATCGGTTAAAACCGCGTAAGTGAGGTCTACGCCAGTAAAGTAAGTAAGTAACCCAACTTCCGTTCATACAGAGGTGAATATGCTTTGCAAACAATTATACCTATGTGCTAAAAAGTAAGTTATCTGGTAACATCGTCAACGCTATCTCGGTACAAATTTTACGGGCTTATTCCCTTACCAAGCGTAATTTAACAATAATTGGTAACAACCAAGTTGTATCACAAACAGCTATTTGATCCTTTCATTAATTGATTTTACAAAATAATTTGGATTTGAAGAAAAGAAAATTTACTTATAAACTCCATACCATTTGCTATCTGTGTCATTGTCAGTTTTGTATGTTGCTGAGCACTAGATTTGCCAGTTATAATATAAATATCTCTTTCAGTAACAGGGAAAAAGATTGTTTTTTAGAAAAGTACTTCATGAGATACAATAACATAATACTTTTTTCCTTCGTATGCCGCAGATATACCAATATTGCAAAAACGCCTTCAAATATGATTGAGAGTAAATACCATGATGTTCAATTAGTAATAAAATGGCCTTATGATTTCTTTTTGAGCACATGCACAATAATGTAATAATAACTTAGTATTTTGAATAAGATGATGCTTAATTAGGGATATTTATCATTCTTTACAACATCAATTGAAATAAAAATTAGACAAAATGCAGAAAGTCACAACAGTCTGTGCTTCGATTCATCCATATTTGAAAGCAATAATGTCAATAACATCAGCGTACGCAAGCAGCTGTACACTCTTATAAAAGATTGTACCTTCCCTATTCAGCACTGTAGCTCATATTATTTTTTTCAGCAAAAAGTTGAAAAAGTCGCACGGTCTAATACCTCGTTTGGTATCAAACGGTTCGAAGAGGTTCTTCCCGACCCTAACGGAGCTTTTAGTATTGATTAACGTCAGTTTACATAGCCGTATAAGTTTTGCGCGGATACCAAATTCAGACATAGCGGCATAAAGACAGCTCCCATTCGTGCTGTCGAAAGCGGCTTTAAAATCGTCGGAAAGGTGGGGTGTCGATCCTCTTTTCACGGGTATTTTCCAAGATTTGGCGCATGGTGAATATCTGGTCAACGGTTGACTTACCAAGTCTGAAGTCACACTGACCCACTGCTGGTGGGCGTCAGTCTTTCACACAATGTGGTCGACAGGACCTTATAGGCGATATTAAGGAGGCTTATCCCACGGCAATTGGCGCAGACTGTGGGGCCTCCTTTTTATGAAATGGGCAGAGCACACTTAAGTTCCAATCATCGGGCATGCTTTGTTTCGATCATATTATGCAAAGTAGCTGATGCATGCACCTTGAAAGCTCGGCAACGTATGAAGACGTTGAATGTAAATCCCTAACTTTTGTAAAAAGGATATTAGCGCTAATGGAAACGAACCGACGTTAAAAAAGGATGCAGCCGTAAGAGGTGACTATATTCGTATAGTTCGCTGATAGTTAGACCCTAATGATAGTTAATTCGATAAGTTGTAGGAGATATAAATTATTCAAAAAAAACTTTGTTCCTTTATAGTAAGTACAAATTTCATTAAAGTCTAATCATATAACCTTTTCTAGTCCATTGCATTTATAATTTGCCAATCGCTAATATAGGATGGAGAACTAGTTAGTGTTTAAAACAAGCTAACTACATAATAGTTGATGACAGCGGATGGATGAGCATTTTTTGTATGCTGATATTTAAATCTTACATATATATATTCATATGTTTGTATGTAAATATACGACAACCAGTTAACTTCTACGATTATTATTATTATTATTTGCTTTTCATATCCAAACTGTGGGCACAGTAGTCTAGCGGTTTGCAGTGCGTGCTATTATATGAATGGTATTGGGTTAGAATCCTGACTAGACCAACATATAAACATTTCGAAAAAAAGTTGTAATTGTGACACATTAAAGAAAAAATAAAATTAGCAAGCAGACGACTTTTTGTTAATTTTAACTAATTCATATATACAAGTTAATCGGAAAGCTTTACTATGATAAATTTGAATAAAGCATTCCTGAGATATGGCCCTTCAAAGTTGAGCAATCTTGAGTTGAATGTCTCGTATTTGAAAATTCCTTAACTGATGGCGGAACAAAAATGTCTGTAGAAAAGACATTTGTCTATTAAATTAGTCACTTTTTCTAGACCATATCAAAATATTTTTGCATATAAACTTCTTATAAAGAAAACGCCTTCTTGGAAATTTTCTTTTTCATAACTTTATTTTACTCATCCAAGATAAACGAAATACTTCAGATGTATAAGGTATAACCTTTAGTAAAGCGAGTACCAAACTTATTTGCAGAGTATTGCATTATATTCAGATACTTTAATTTGAACTTACCTTTTTTACCAAAATTAAATTTGTATAAAAACTTTTTGGCAAATATTTCAATTTTCAGTAGCATTTGATGCAATAACAAGTTCAAAAGTGGGCCTTGAGTTGATTAGCCTATTGCAATAAAAAATTTAAAGAATTTAGGTTCAACCAGCCTACCCAAAAATTCAGAACGCCAGGAGAGATTCAAGAATTAATTATCTTACCGATAATTGTAATCGTTATTTAACTATGTCATACCCAGTTATAATATATTGCTATCTTAACTTACATGCTGAAGTTAAGAATGCATATTTTCTTGTTAATTATAATTAAAATTATAAAACGATTATATTAGCACCAACTACCAAGTAATAACTTTTTTTTATTAAGATTTGGGTCTACGAAGTTAAAAATATGTATACAAATCTCTATAGTTTTTATGACGACATCAAATTTTATGTACTGCATGCTTCTTTTACGGTTTTTATATAAAAAAAAAATCAGTTATAGGAAGGATTTATAATATATTTCGATTTAGCTGAAATTAAGTATATTGAGCTCCGAATTTCTCCCTCTTACAAGATTTTTTGACGGATTTATTACTCAAAATCTAAAAAACTGAAAAATCTGTTAAATATACATACGTTATAGTGGTCGAATCCATCCGGTTTCGACAAATGATGTCATATAGAGATACATCTCCTACTCATTTACATAAAAATACGAAAGAAGAAGTTAATCAAAAGGTTTTAATAAAAATTGAATGATATTTTCTATTCGTTTTATAAAAATTTCAACTCAATGACCACACTTGCTAAATTTAAGTTGAGATAAAAATGTTTTCACACGGTAAGCTTTATGGAATTTGGTATGTACATAGAATTTAGAAAGTAACCCGAAACAGTCGGTATTTGCTAGCATAGCATTAAATAGCATTTAATTATAGACAAAGTTATGTGTGAGGAATCTTGATTGCCTACTGAGGGGCTAAAGTATTTGGAAGAGTACATATAAAATTTTTATAGCATCCAATTCCTCGAACAATTTTAAATAAAATGTCCAAATTCGAGTAAAAGCTTCATCACATCACAAAACGAAAGAGCAAGGCCTAAAATCTCTTCACTGGTTATAAAATGCCGATAATTATATATATTCGTATGTATATACAACCAGAATTATTTCTACTAGTGTGTTCTGTAATATTTTATGTTCAAGCGCATCATCCTCTCTGTGTATGCTATTCTATAATAAGTGCAACGTAAAGTATATCCCAACCGGTTGCTTAGTATACATTCAAGTTCAACGAAATTCCCAAGGAAGTAACCGTCTACAGCATTCAGCTCTTAGCCATACATACGTAGATGAGCGAGACAAGTGGTGTATATTACTTCTCCTTTCGAATTAAGCACTAAACGCTTAGACTACGACGTACGACAAACGGCATCTATAAAAATTGCGTTATTTAGTGGGTGTCATGAGATCAACGCGGCATGAATTACGAACGCTTCCTGTTGCCAACTTGTATCTACTGATATCTGAAAGCGCAAGCGACGACGAGTTTCCCCTCTAATTTGAAATATATCTAATTTTATATAACAAATTACATATAAAATACATACTTTATCCAAATTTTGTAATAAACTTTTAAAAATATAATATTTGTTTTTTTTAGTCTAAACGATTTTTCTTTGCAAAACTTTTTAAGGGAAACAAATTTGTCCCGGCAACAACTTCCACTATCAAATATTTCATAGTTGTCGTACTTTAATGTCGTCTTATCACCGAAGTGTTTGTAGCTTTACTTATTTTCTGCCACATTCCACCCATTTAATCCTTTAAGATGCTGTTGATTTCGATTGTGTCAGAAAATGGTCAGGAGAATCTTATAAAAGGCCACCTGTTGCTTCAGAAAGCATCAGTTTTATACTGACAACTGAAAGTTTTTGTATTCAGTAGAACTAAGTAATTTTGAAGTTTTCTGTGTTTTAACGATAAGTGCGAGAAACATTACCGAAATAAGAGCAGAATTACAAAAGTAAGTATATCTATTATTTTTCGAGCGGATCAACATGTATATGTTTTAATATATGTAACCATAATTAACTAATTTTTTATGAATGTGGTTTTATTACATTCAGTCGTAAACCACTTACAAAAGCATAATACAGTGAAATTTTAATGCTTTCGGTTGATAAATATTTTTAAATCGTACAATCTGCTTACCTAAATTATAGGTTTGTGCTTCAGATGTCGCAGAATTTAAATTTGTATCTAAAATAGAATTCGAATAAGATTACCTGTTATCCATTTTGTGACCAAATAAGTATTTAAAGGATAAGTTTATGTTACTTGCAAATTTTTAAGAGATGTACTAAACACAAAAAACTAAAAAGGCCATAGTTACGGTTTGAATATTTGTTAAAAGATAATGCGGCAATAACGAAGATTATTGTAGTCATCAAGTACGTTCATAAGAAATGATTCGTTAAAACTTTTTTGTTTCTGCTGTTAGACATCATCGACTGCAAAGTAAAACTTAAATTCTGTTTTATTTTCCTTAGTGGCTCTGCGTAGAAAATTATACACATATTTACATCTGTATGTAGGCTTTACTATACTGTACTGTACAATATAAAACATACTTCTTTGAAGTAAATCCTGCAGCCATGTCTAAAAATAAATTGATTCGACCGGTATAACAACTTTAGGATATTCTTATTAACTTTTTCCAGTTTGACCAGCAGTTGTAGCAAAGATTTGGAAGATAAAAACTTTTCCTTTATTAGTGTTGAACTGTATGTAAGGAATGCAAACATACTTTCATTATTCAAAACACTCTCATTTACAATTTCCAAGCAAATTTTATATCCTGTTACAAACCCGTTCTTTTTTCATAAGATAATTTCAAGTGTTTTAATGTTCGTTTTCCTTTTTCTGTCATTTACAACAAAAGTTTATGTAAAATAATAATTTAATATATATGTATGTACATATCTTTAATTCAAAAATATCAAAAATTTATTCACCAGACGCCGAAAAAAATGGAATAAAAATATAGCAATCTTTTTTATTTGACCTTGATAACTAATAAGTAACGAAAAAACTTTATATAAAAAAAATAATATATAAAATATTATATTTTTTATTTTTGAATCGGTGCCAAATATACATACATAGATCGAGGATAGTATTAACATTCTAAAAATACTTTCTGGACACGACCACTTGCAACGACGTGTGCCATCACATGATTATTTTTTCGTGACCAGTAGTATCTACATTTTTTACGCCCTTAGAGTTGCAATTTTTTTCCAAGTTTATGTAAGAGTTATAGAAATCAGAATACTCCAATACTCCGTGACTTAGCTGACTCAAAACTTGAACATTTAGAGAAACAATAATAAATATAAATACATATATACATATTAAATGCATCACGACTATCAACGTTTAGTACTTATCTTATTATACGGGGTTAAAACCAAACAAGCCTATTTTTAGTAATCAGGAATACATTTTCCGCCAGTTAGCGTGTTTAGAATTTGTGTTGTTGATAGTTGGAGTAAATAATATGCAATATGCATTTGCTGCATGGTTGGCAGTGTATGACACCATGGGAAGGTCGCTTTTTTACATTTAACAGCAATAGATTTGCACATTAGTCACTAAAATACAAAATAAATTGAAATTATAACCAATGAAATATAAAGCCGAAGAAATTCGATACCGAAAAGAAAATAATATATGAATATGTAAATCTAGGTAAATAGCTACCACGAACTAAATTTCATATAAAACAGCCTAACTTGTCGAAATAGGCATGAAACTTGGAAGGTGTGCTGTGTGTATTACATAGGCGTTAGATAAGAAAGAATAATTCGGGAAGCAGACCCGGAACCGATCTATTCGAAAATAACATATTTTCGATTTGATTTGCTGGAAATTTTTTTATTTGAAATCAATGTTGTTATAACTGTTGAAAAAATTCAACTGAATATGAGAATGTAAGAAAAATTTTGTAATATCGCATACGTTAATAATATTGATAATTTACAGAAAAAGTGCTTCTTGTGTTAATTTAGGTAAAATGCAACTCTCAAGTTTTAGCAAGACAAACGAACAACAATTCTCTGGTTCGCTTACTTACTTACTTTACTGGCGTAGACACCGCTTACGCAATTTTAGCCGAATTTATAACATCGAGCCATTCATATAACATCTTGTTTATATTACTACTGATAAATGGGATTATTAAATTGCATTTATGTCCTTAGTGATTGTTTATATATTTCTATATAAAAGCTTTCATACAATAATTTATGATATAGATGCAAAAGTATTTACTGCTGATAGTTCTGATTTTACCTGTTGTATGGAGTGTTCCGGTTCCTGCGGCACAGAGTGACATTGCTTCGCATATTGTCATCGTGACACCACAAGCCCAAGTACATTTAGAACCAGCAATCAAATATGATACGTCAGCATTCGTTCATCATCTCTCGCCTTTAGCTCGAATCGCAAGTCCACATGAGGAAACTATTTTTTACGTTCCTTCAAATTTTGCTGCACCAATTATTCCTATTGACGCTGTAAATGTAGGACGTGCCAGTGGTAACGAAAAGCCACAAAAACTTGAAACCAAGCAATGGGATCAGATATCCCAGCAAATTCAGCAAGCTGTCCAGACTGGCTCATCGCAGTTAGGTCCGCAGTTAAGCGAAGCAGCGACAGCAGCTTCCAGCGCAGCTGCAGCTGCAGGGCAGGGTTTATTCCCTGCATTATTTCCACCTGGCGGCACTGCAACTACCACTACGACAGGAAAAGACGACAAACCTAAAATCGCGTATGAACTCCCTGCAAACACAGAAGCTTTGCTAACCCACAACGCTCGTATATTTGCAATTACTCCGGCTGTTTCTCATGTTGTCGATTTCATACACTCTCCCGTATTGATCAGCCCAATTCCAGCCATACGAGCTCGTAGCATACAAGAAGAAGACAACCAGGCGCAACAGATCACCACTTCATTACTGGAATCGAAACTTCCTGAAAATTTACCTTTGACCAAGAGCATTAAGGATTTGGAAGGTGAACCTAAAAGCAAACCTTACTTGGGTAGGATTTTTCATTTAACGCTCTCAATTATGATTTACCAACACTCAAATAAATTTGTTTACGACTTTTAGATAATGCAAATCCTAATGCTAGCAGCAAATTGTCACAATCAGTGAAAGAAAAAATCGAAGAAGAAGTTTTGCCATCCCAACCAATTAAACCTATCATTAATACCAAGGAGAAATAAATTTTCTGGAAAACGTTTTTGACCACGATGCCATGTCTAAGGCTGCATAAACTTAAATACATCATACGTGCATAAATCAATACAATGAATCTCAGATCATTTTTTATTAGTAACTGGTGACGTAAAATAACTAATAACATACGCTTCGAGCTGTTCACTAACACAATAACTTTTCTATTTTAGTATACTAACGCATATGCATACGTACGAGTATATATACAATGTTTATTAAAAATGTAAACAAGTTAACATTTGAGCAAAAACGCACATACATACATTGACCATTAGTTCATAATCTTAACCATGAAAACAACAAACAATAAAAATTGGCAAATAAAAAATACATATATATGTAAGGTTTCATACAAATATATAATATTACTTTGAACAAGGAAGTCATTGCAAAAAGGTAAGTACACGTTTTCCAATTGCTCTGCTGAGGACAATGTATAAATGTTCATATGTATATGTGTACATATAAGCGATTCAAACTATTCCGGATGTGGAGGAAGCAGCTTTACAGCTATGAAGCAAATACCAATAACTGGACAAAGGTCTCATTTAATATTTTTCAATCTGAATTGACATATGTCTTGCAAGGACTATCATTGATATCACACAACTTTTAGTTGTTGATTGAATTGAATTTACTAAAATTCTTCCAACGGGGGTGCTCTCGGCCTCAGGCATGCTAGGCAAACATATTCTAGACTAAGAAATGGCTTCTAATACTTAAATTATGAGCTGTATTATATAATATATATTGTACAAATACGAGTATTCATCCGTTACGCAGAAATTTTAAATCCTCGTCGTTTTCGTTTATAGCTATAAACTCTGTGTAGTCATCAATATCTTCCTTTGTTGCTGTTTGGAGTTCGACAAAGGTAGGAGATTCTTTCGAACTGTTCTCATCAATTGCAAACAAATTAACGTTGTAGTTATTTTTATCTTCAACCAATATTGAAGTAAAATTCGTTTCCGCCCCAATATTACTTTCCGAAGCGTTTTCAGCAGTTGTTTCCAGTGAACTGGTATCTGTGTATTTATATATAGAAAAGTATGTTTGGACGCGCTGGATAATGCGTTCCAGAAAGGGAGGAAATTTATGCTCAATGCCGTCACCATAAATTTTTATGGCCCACCTGTTGTTCCTGATTATTATCTGAGGAGTTTCTTTCGTGGTTCCAGGAAGGCGCTTAGAAATAGTAGAATTCTTCGATGTATTGCTTCCATTGGCCATTGTTCCGGTGGCTACGAACTCGATGTAACTCAAATGATTCACTTCACTTATACCTTTGCCAACACGATAAACAACTGATTTATAATTATTTGATTTTTCGTCTGCACACCCTGTATTATTTGTTTTTCTCATAGATGGTAAAATTCGTGCGTTTGTTAAGTGCAAATCAAATATAATGGCGTACAAAGTTATGACAGGTAATAACAAATCCCATTTTTCTACCACACTTCTGTGAAAGAGAAACATATTTTAAGTGCATGCAACGCTTTGTCTAAAATGTACCGCCGTCTTTTAAGTCAATAAAGCAACTGCAGCCTATCCACAAGCAATCTTGTATATAATTGTTCGAAACCGTTTTAAGTAACCAACTCGCGACTTGAATTTGTAATTAGCAAATTTCTGCCAACCTCCTCTCTGCTGAGGCTAATTTGTGAAGCTGCTAGTAAAATAGCTGGTACTGGTCTGTAAACTCTCCAATTGACAATTAATATTTACCACTTTTGACGTGAATGTCACACACAATTGAAAATGTAAAACTCTCTAATATTTCTGTGCCCAGGCATAGGTACGTACATACAATGTTAATATATGTACAAATAGTTAGTTTATGAAGGTATAACAGTTACATTGAATGTACGTATACATATATATTGAAGGTGAAAGTATTCCCAATTGGCAATGTTTATATATGACAAAGAGTACCAACTAACGACTCAGACTGCGCTTTTAGAGTATTAACCCATATCAAATAATAATCGTAATTTTTAGAGGAAAGAAAATTATTTCAAAATCTTATCAAGACACTATGTATTTTCTATATATTTAATGCATTCTTGTTAAAAGATACTATATATTATTTATATATTTACTGCATTTGCTTAATCTAATATTTGCCTTTCATTTTACTTTGGAATGCAAATAATTAAAATATTCATCGTTTTTCCATACCAATTTTTAATTTAATCAAGAACTAATTTTTCCAGGATTTGGACAGGGAGCAATATACCGGAAAACAAGAAAGAAAAGCTGAAGTCGTTACACATTTCATAAATCATATATTATTATTTTTTAATATTGTTGAAGAAGTAGAAGATCTATCTTACATAAAATTTATGAATGATATGGTGCAAAGTACATTTTACAAAGCTGCATTTGGCACTCTCAACAAATGGTTTTAGTGTGTGTCTGTAATTTTTGAGCACTACGATGGGTAGCTCCAGATGATGCGCACTTGAACTTCGTTTCACCTCTTTCCAATCTGTTGCCATAAAATTTAGGCATATTTTCCCTGTTTGCATGACGGTGCCAACGGCTGAAAAGGAAAGAGTGTCCAATAAGTAATATAATATCCCAATTTCATGTCCCTAGAAGCTTTTTTGGCGCATATATATGACCCGAAACTTCATATCTTAATAAATCGATTCCATGGGGGCTATAAGAAATGGTCCTCTGATCTAGATGATTTTAGGTGACAAAGTTTATTTGTAGATGCGAATGTGCAGTATTCAATGTTATGGCCTTCTATGCTTTTTTGATCTGAACAAAACGCAGTATGAGAGCCATATGATGCAATTGTCTGGTTTCGATAATTTTCAGAGCCAACGTGTATAACGTATAGGTGCGTAGGTGCTTTTTTAAAAATTGTGAGTTCCAAAACGTCAAAATAGTTTGTAATGATGCCATTACGCAACAACACGTGTACACTTTTTGTCCCTTAAAACATAAAACAGATCGAAAAAACCAGTAATATAATGTTTAAAAAAAGAATTAGCGCAAAGAACTTTCTCACTGTGAAATTGGCCAATGCTACAAACGAGAAAAATTGGTTAATAAATTGAACAAAAACATGCGCAAATCTTTTGCATTTGTTATTCTTTCGTAATTTTATTTTTACAAGTATCATTTGAATTAGAAAATTAATTGCGCATCCTTACCTACAGCATTTTCTTCTTTGATTGATTGATTTCGCTAACCAACATTCAACGTAGAAAATATATATACATATGTATAGAATTATTACGTTTTGACAAAATCAAGTTTTAAGTTTATTTATGAAAAATAATTGTTTCAATATTTCTTATGACGTGTAGTCTCTTTTTGAATTTTTAAATGTAAACAGTTAGTCATAAGGTTCCATCATCTATTCAAATTTTTATTCATACACGTATGCATAGGTGTACGTATGTACCTACGCATTTACATATGTATGTAGGTACATATGCATGTGAACCAGCACAAGAGTATTTTTTGATGAGAATAAGGAATCTACTTCAAAACCAGTTTTACTTTAAATCTGTATTATTCAACTGTAAAATCATACAAATTTGTTAATTTTTATATCGTCTCTTCTACTATGATTACTAATTTGTTTTAACTATGAACATAATAAAACATTTCATTCTTCTGTTTAATACTGTAATTCCGGTTTTTGGTTGTAGCTCCCAATTCGAATCATAATGATTCATATGGGAATTTCCAAAAAGCTTATTATTTTAAATTTTAGTCCTGTATATTTTTATATACTTTATAAATTTGACTTTTTTTGGAAGCAAATACCTAGCAAAGGTAACTTTTTTCTGAATAAGGTTATAACTTTGCTTTTGGAGTCATTTATGGTTCATAACAAAGCAATCTGTTTTCGTGACCAACATTTTTATTTATCCATTAACCATTTTTCTTTATTGGATAACAAATATATTCAATTCATGCAAACAAATAGTCCTTTAACTCACTAAGAACGTATAACTAAATATCATTTCGTTTTAACCTAAATAATAATATGATCTGTTCTGTGAGAATAAGCCCGCAAACAAATGTAAAAATTTTGCTCTCCCGGAGCAAATCATACTTCAATTTTGCCCCACCGATTCGGTTCCGTAAAAATTGGTACCGCTCATCAGCTACCATTGAAAATACACTTTGCAATTTACGTTAATGATGATTTTGAAACATTTTAACATTTGGTGAAGTGATATCCTTTCTAGGAATAAAACACAGACTTTGGGTCAACTTATAAAAAGTTTATTTTACATGCTATATGTTGTCGCAAGGCTTTAAATTGCATGTTTTTAACTCTTTTGCCAATCTCAAGGCGGTTGACTTGAACTTTATGCTTACCAGAATTCCTTGTGATCATAAACTTTTAAATTGCTTGGCCTTAAGTCTACAACAATTTACAATAATACATATATGTCGATCTATAGCTGTGACCATAGAAGCAAGAGTGTTTTAAATTTAACAAATACGGTTCGTGCTGCGGTAGCCAATCTGTTTCAAGCTTTAGATATTTAGATAGTTATTTGATAATACATAACATCTTGTTAATAGTGACGCAGTGGTAGAAACCGGCAGTGGCAGTGGCAATGTTCTCTCACTTTTAAACGTTGTTGGGTCGTGATTTGATGATGATGCCTATTTAGCTGGGAGAACATATACAAAAAGCAAGTTATTATACATATTCGAATTTTTTTTTAAGATGTATGTATATATATTATATGTACATACATATGTCTATATTTTATTCAGACTTCGTAAAATGTATTTACATTCTGCCTCTGGTCAGCGCATCTTCAATATAAGAAGCTTCAATTTGCAAATCTGATATTACTCTCAAATCAACATCGACAGTGTAAAGTAATCAAATTTCTCCAATAATTATAGTGTTTTATCGGATTTGAATTGCGCAATAACCCACGAGATGAATTTGTTAACATACGTTGTGTACATGCTGGTTAGTAATATATTTGTGATAATTTTTCATAAAAAAATGTAACTACTCCGCACATTCCAACGGTTTATAAGGTCACAAGTTCGATTCTAAACACATTACCAGACAGGATGTTACTAATCATTTACGTTCATATATAATATTATTCTACCAACAAACCAAGCAAGTTTCTCTACATTATCCTAAATTTTAAAAGCGAAAAAGAAATTATTCATATCGTTCTTTATCGTGTTTGGTAAAGAGAGATAAATATATTCATTATTAATTGTGAATGCATATTTTTAGCAAATGATGTAATTAATGAATATATATCTAATATTAAAACTTAGAAATATTAATCGAATATTATAAATATATATAATATATTGATTTTATATGCTATATTTTAGGCATTACCCAGCGCGCTTTTTGCTGAGAACATTTTCAAGATCAATATTTCCCCTGAGGAGGCACAGCAGTTCCTGAATAATGCTAATCTTCGCGGTCTGGAAAATATAGACTATGCTTCTAAAACTGGTGAAAATGAGTTGCCTGAAGCTCGCAATGAAAAAGGAGAGTTCATCTACATGGGACGTGTGATAGATCATCCTGAAGAATACGTAGAAGAACACTATGATGCGCACCAGTACCACGGTCAGGATGGGTTGGGGCAGTATGTGTACGGGTATCGTGATTGGAATCAGGGAAAGAATGAGAAGAAAGACGAGTCCGGGACAGTAAGTGGATCATATAAATATGTTCAACCTACTGGACGAGACTTTGTAGCGAAATATTACGCTGATCGAACGGGTTTTCATGTCGAAGATAATCGGCCAGCCCATTTAAAAGAGCCTGCCACGAAGACGCCGGCAGTGCGAAAAGCGGAAGAAGAGCATTTCAAGTTATGGGGAGAGCTTGCGGCTGCCAATGGTCACAATCCTGACCCATTTGCTTCTGAATATCAACAACAATATAATAGGCCCGCTGATTCTGAACCCATAGAATATGTTCACGAAGAACCACCTTATATACCTGGACCTGAGGAAACTGGACCCCCGCGCGGGTTTTTCTACGCTTTTGACTACAATGTGCCTCTATTACGAAACAAGAAGGAACGGGAAGAATTAGAAGAGCTGCGGGCCATTAATAACAAAGATTAATGATAGTCCTCGTGCAGATGACAAATCATTCTTATGAAACAACACATTTATAGTAAATTACTAAATTATAATTCTATTTTATTTATTTTTTTAGTAGCTCTCATGACATGTACATGTTAAAATAAAATTTTATATACATAAGTGCCGTTTTATAAAATTGGGTCGTTATCCGCAAGAAACGGATTTCACACTGACTAGACCACAACCGAAAAGAAGAAGAACGACACCATTATTGTACTTTGCATATACAAGTTATAATTTATATGGGTATAGTCCTGTCAAAATAGTGCTCTCGGTATGCAAATTTTAATGACTTTTGCCACACTGATTGCGGTTCAGTAGAAATCGTTAAAAATGGTTGCCGAGCACCTCGCCGAGCACATCATTTATTGTTACCGTTAGAGTTAATATTTATCATGATTTTATTTATATGTATCGTATTACGAGATCGTGGTTGTAGAAATTTATGCACAAAAATTGTACAAATTATTGTGTTTTGAAATCAAAGTGCCCACATGCTTGCAATAAATTTGCTGGCCAAATGACAGATGGTAAGCAATCGCTGATCACCTGATAACAAAGAGAGAGACAAAACAAATTTGTTCCACCTGCTGCCACTCGGAAAACGCTAAATTGTGTCCATTTTCGAAATAATCTTATTTTTAGAGAGTGTTGTATATTATCAGGCGTAGTTTAAAAAGTATACCAAACATGAGTTCATTGTATTTATCATTTTTCTTTAACTTTTAAACTAGATGAAAATAATTTCAATGAAAGTTCGGTGAAAGGTTTTACGCCAGCAATGTTAAAATTAAGTACGTAATATTAAACCAAATCAAATATTTAAAATAAAATGAAGTAATAAATTTCATTAAAAAACCTTAAGTTGACTTAGAACTTTAATTTGTCATTATTTTTTCATTATATTACATATTTGTCATTTCACTATTGAAACTGAAATTACTATTTTCTGAAAGAAATGATGAACTCTTTTAGAGTTCAAAAAACATTAAAGAAAATACTGTTTTACTGAAAAAAATTAGGACATCTTTCGGAGCACAAAATCATCACTCCGATTCTTTTTTGTAACTAGTAAGTTATTTCTAATTAATAATTAAATTTTCTAATTACGGTCGCCCCTCAGCAGAGATTGTCCACCCCTCCGAGTGTACTTCGGACATGAAAAAAAGCTCCCCATATTAGTATAAACTGTCCATTTGTTGGAAAAATATCAAGATGCAAAACCACAAATTGAAGGAGGAGCTCGGCCAAAAATATCGCTTCAGCGGTTACAAAGCACCAATTATATTTATATATATATATATACATATGTTATTATGAGGTACAAGAGCCGCATATGAAAAATACTGTTTTCTAACAGCAACTAAGGATTCTCTCTGATGAAGCAGCTTTATAGAAACGTGTATTTTCTGAGAGTTTTTTTTTTTGTTAGTTATTATTTTGTCTGCTCTTTATGGGCGTATGATAATACAACAATAGATTATATGGCTGATGTTGGCGCAGTGGTAGAACACTTGCCTGTTAAGTCAGGATCCGTTGGTTCGATACCTGTCATAAGAAGTGTGATGAGGAGATGTAGTGATCTCCGAAACAGCTGTCACTTCTACCATTTTTTCTTTGTTGTATAACAAATATTTAATTCATACAAACAACAAGGCCTCGTAGTTTACTTAATAAAAATTAATATATAACATGGCCGCAAAAACAAATTATAAAAAAAAATATTCTTATTCGTTTTCCTTAACAAATATTAAATAATATACATATAATAAAAACAAATTAATAACAAATAGTGATTATTACTTTTTTATGTCATTTGATCTCCTCTCACTGACGTTTAGCAATTTTTATTTCCTTCAAACATTTTGCTGTCGATGTCGAAACTAGTATCTGCAATTTAATTTCATATAACGCAAAAAAATCAGGGTTTAACTGCCGGTGTAATATTAGAATGCCGAACTTTAAACATTCTTAACTATGTGCATACATACTACTATATTGGGTATGTTAATATTTTGCATTAGTTAAAGCTTAGTTAGGCTCTTTCGTTTTTCTGTAAAATTAAAAAATCTAAATTGGACAAAATACATATAGCCGCAACATTTGGTCGGGGTCTTCTAGTTCTATAATGAAATAACCTCCTTAAAAAATCATTAAAAATCTTATTAAAATCAATTTGAAATTCAATGCGGACGAAGTCGCAGGTAAAATCTAGTTCGTAAATAAACTCAAAAATTAGTTAATTCTCAGTACTGTTTTTTCTAGGGTGCCGTAGTCGAGATAACAATTATAAATTCGACAAAATCCATTGATTGTATTTATATATGTATTGTTTACGTAAAAAATCTTTTTTTTATTATTTTTTCATCAACATCATCTTATTCGGTCATCTTCGTTTGAGTCTCAAAAAACAACATATACAGTTTTCTTTAAAAGTTTTAAATTCGATAACTGTTAATGACACCACGCAATACACTTTTAGATATATAATCATTCCAAAAACTGCAAAACTACTCGAGAATCATTTTAGGCAGAAATGTGAGATATTACTAAGCAAGCATCACATGGCCACTGTGGAGGAAATTCCACATTTACATTTGAGTGGAACTGTTTAGGTCGATTTTGTATACATCTTAAACACGTTAAAAACATATTATTTTTAATAAAAGTCAAGATTTATACTAAGTACAATATATATTAATTTTATATAAAGTTATAAACTTACAAACTTATATATTGCTGTTTTACATTATATATATATGTTTATCTTTTGAGAAATTGTTTATTTTACATTTTTATAAACTATATAAAATACTTTATACGTATGTATATGATCCTAATTTAACTTGTTTAAGCAATTGTTTTCTTTTATTCGACAAATAGCTTGCCAATTACACGTTTAGCATATTAAAGTATAGTAAATAAGATAATTTTTAGAAACATTTAGCTTCAAAACATATGTAAACGTATGCAATAAAAACCGTAACTAAAGAGAAATTGTTTATACATTCATATATGGCTCAAACTTATAAAATGCTATTTTTTCATAATCAAATATCCAAATAAATCAGTAAAAATTTATAAGTTTGCTACTATTTCAAATTGATTGCGATTATTTGTACAGATATAAAAATCATTGGTTCCGCTATTTCTTACCTTAGTAACGAGTTCGTTCTACATTTGGCAGTGAAACCGAGTTTGACAAAACTCTGTTTATAAATATAATTTGTTTCTGTTTTCTACTATAAAATTCAGAATACACAAAAGTACATTTTCAATTTTACCTCAAGTAATGAAATAATTTTTTTAATGAAAGTAATAAGGAAAAACTACTAACACTATAGGTGGCACAGTTCGAAGTGGATCGCTCAAGGAACCTGATAAACAGCCCGCTACTTTTGTGAAACATGCATAGTCTCTTCTTCACCCAATTAAAAAAAAAGAATTTATAATGCCGCTTCGTCCGCAGCTCAGTCGTACTTGTTTTTTAAATCAATATGTTTTTAAACTGTAATACTAAAGGTTTAGTTTGACGTCAACAGTCTAAGCTTATTTTCTTTTTATTAGCTTATTTTACCTTTGGCATCTGATTCTAGTATATGGGTTTTACAAAATAATTTTTTCCAACATATAAGTGCTAATTTGTCTATGAACATACTTGTGAATAAATGAAATTTTTAATAATACCAGGATTTGCAGGGGTGTTCTGTGATTTTTCCGAGTTACGAGAAAGTGGGTCTGACATACCTTAAAGAGTTAAGTTAAAAACATGATTTTATAAATGTTCGTTATATATAAAATGTACATATTTAGTAATGTATGCTAATACTGAATTTAACCTAACTATACTTTATACTCTATGCATTAGTCCATCCATAATTTACAAAACATCCACGTTTCTATGAGTATCAAGTTGGGAGTAATTTTTAAAATAAAGACTTGTATTACAACCAATTATAGGAAATAAAATTTAGGATATTATATATTACTTAAATATACTAATGTTAATTTATTATATATTATATATAAAGAGTGAGCGCCTTGTGACCACTGAAGCGATTTTCGCTCGAACTCTTCTACCAATTTGAGGTGTGCGTCTTGATGTTTTTCCAAAATCATTGATTCCATTGATTCTCTATAATTTTGGATGTTGGTCGGACCTGAACTCAAACCATAGCCTTCCGAATGATAATACGTAAAAAAATACTTCTAAGTAAATTAATTAACAGATTTGAGAAAATCAACCACATGCTTCCTTTTACGAAATCAAATTAGAAACGTATAAACTCTTAAACTCGCGCATAAACGTAGTGAGAAACAAAGTAAATATGATTTAGACCCAATTGACGTTTTTCAGTTTTCTACGCATAGTAAGAAGTTTAGGTAGGTTCTAAATCTTCTGTTCTCAAAAGCTGAAACGGAGAATTCATAGTCCAAAACGTATTCCTGAAGAATTAGTTGTTTTATAGATGTATGACATTGCCCGAATGTGCGGCTGAAAAAATAATTAAGACAAGTTTTCAAAGCGGCAGATAGAGATGAAGAGATTATAACCAGATTATATTTTGGGGCCTATCTCTTCTCATCTTCACATTAGAAAAGTCGAACGAAACAAATATAATTTGAGTTTTATGAAAACAATTGAAAGATTGTACCTGTTTATTTTGCAGTCGCTGAAGTCGTAACTTTCAGTTTAGCAAACATATTTTCACTACTGGTGGGATTTTCAATTTTATTTAGATCCAATTTCTGAATTTCGCTTTCTAAACGAATGCAGTTCTTCTCGTAATTCACTTTCGAATCATTATCCATCGAAGATTTTTCACAAATTTCAATTGGTGCAACCTTTTTGTCTTTGTTTTTTTTCAATGCATTGAGGAGTGTTTTTTCTTTATCTTTCGTTTTGGTTTCTTTGTCTTTATCCTTTTCCCTGTTTTTATAATTTTTAAAGCGCGGAAATATGCATCCGTTAGGTAAAAATCCTACTAACTTGTCTTTCTTCGTAGTGGTAGTCGCCGAAGTTGTGGCAGATACCAACGTTGTAATTTTTATGGGGTTGGTAGACGTTAGTACTGAGCTTGCTCCAGTGGCATTCAAAAGGGTTGAAGTTGATGCCATAGTAGCTGTGTTAGAAGTCAAAGGCGAATTATTATCGATATATTGGGCACTTTTCTTTTTGCTAGTTTCTTCTCTAGTGATATTTGCTGAAGTTTCCCTGGTACTTTGCCCACCACTTTCTGCCGAAGATTTTTGAATGAAATCGATTTGGTCCTTTCCAAAAAGTAAATTTTCTCCACAACTTGCAATTTCTTCTTTTGAATTTTTAGTACGTACTTCATTACTTTCATCATAATTTTTATTATTGAGTATCTCTTTTTCGTATTGCCCTATTGTTTCAAAAATATTTGTATCATCTGATGGTATAGAATCACATGCAATTATCATAGTTCTTTCTGCAAGACCATCAAATGGAAGTTTATCGACCTTCTCAGTAGATATGGTACTAAATTGCTTCTGCTCTGAAATTTGCACGACTTCAGTAGATTTCGGAAACATCTGTTGCGTGGTGAAGTTGTGAAAGTGATGTTGTTGACGTTGTTGAATCATTTGCTCTTCCCGTTCTCGATCTCTTTGCGCTTGTACCGCACTCCATACATCTTTTAATTCCCCAGATATATCACGATCTTTTAGAATAACAGCATTCCTGGAAAAAAAGATAAACTGAACTTAATGGCAAGATTAGCAACATCTTTGTTCTTTTATTAAAACATAACTATCTCTAAAAATCTACACAAAATTACATATATGTATATTTATGAACCAAACAAAGGTTATATTGTGAGAGGCGTAGAATTCAGCTTATTTATTCTTTACTTAGAGAGATGGGAAAATTGTGCATTTGCATAGTTTTTTACCTCTGAGCTATCATCACGATATCTAAATTTTTTTAGTCAACTTAGTACCATTCTGGAACGATGTTAGCAAATAGGAAAAACGTTTCTGAATTAATAAATTAAGGCATACCTTACTAATTTAACTCCAGGATTCATTGCTTCTACAAAGTCGCACATTAATTCTACCATAGCTCTACGCTCCTCCGGATCTTTGCTATGGCGACCAGAATCTTTTAGCACTTCTGGATTCGCCATAACAGCAAAAACTATTGGTGGGCTGCGAGGACTTCCTGGGGGTACCTAGATGTACACATATCCATACGAAAAACTTATCAAAAATTTTATCCATAATTTTAAAAATCTTACCCTCATTCCACCGTACAATGGTATAGGATCAGTAGGTTCTTGTGGTATAACTATTCTCGTCCAGCTTAGTACGTTTATAAACAGCTCTTCACCAGATTCTGTTGTTGTACGAATACACATATGCGGCTGGGGTGGATTCTTAAAATGTCGGTAGGCACGAGAATGGCGATAACTGTGGGGAGGAGGGGATTGCATTAGAGATAGACTCGTGAGTCCTCCATTTAGTTGGCTTTCCTCGCAATTTGAATTATTTTTAATTTCCGCCGCATCGTGGCAGCTGATTGCAGAGTTTACAGGTAATTCTACCTGAATAGATGACTTTTCACATTCCTTTAGAATTGGAGTACACACCATGGCACTCGATGCAACTGCCGCCGTCGATGGTGGAGAGATGGATACTGGTGTCAATATTCTGCTTTTTATGTCTATATGGGCTGCTATCCCATTATCATTTACCTGTCCCGACATTGTTTTCGTTTTATTATGTAGCAAGATTAAACTTATTTTCTAAGTGGCAGTCCGGTTAATAAAAATTAATATTAATTCAATTGAATTTTTTGTCACTCGAATAAAAATTTGACGGATTTTTTAAAATAAGTTGTTTTTTTTATTTATTTAATTTATAATTGTTATTTACTTTGCACTAACTTTTTCGAGCTTTGTAACATCTTTTACGTTCTAGGAGAGATTTATCAGCCTAGTACGAACGAGATTCACAATTTGTTTACGTTGTTTTCTCATCATCTATGCATTCGATTAAATTTCTTCCGTATTCTTTTACTTTCATCGCTTTTCCAGAAGTCATGTATGTATGAACTATATTGTATGTAGGCAAGAATGCTTTAGAATCTTCAGTTTGTTTACACAAACTTTACAGTATGGCCTTTTGTAAACACACTTCCCACAGTTTCCACTTTGATTTTTGTATTTCCGACATGGAATTAGGGCTTTCCATACATACATACATACTACGCTTGGTGGCAGTTATACCCTCTTTCTTAGTGAGCCCTAATTCTTTTTTCTTACTAAGGCAATGTGTATTTTAGACTTTTTAATCTAAATATCAATTTCAATGCTGTACTGCATTTTTCTAAGAGTGGATGTTTTTCCTTTGCGAACTGGTTCAATCTTAAACTTTGTTTGCAAGCTGTGTAAATTAAGAATATCAAAACATGTAGTTGAACAATTGTTTAGTTGTCGGGTTCGTTTATCCGTATATGCATATTTTTCAATAATGAAATGCCGCATATATATTACTGGTTCTCAATGCAATTACTCAGCTTCCCATTTATAGCTGCTTTTATATATATGTATTTTATACACTTTGAACTCATATTCTTCACTTGATTTCACGAAATATCGCAGAAAATAATAAACTAAACATTCTACTATTCTAAACACTAACAAATTTTATGTGTGATCAATTTGGGAATGTATCAAAGCGAATAATTACATTTCGCCTTGGAATGTATAAGCATATCACTAATGCTGCCACACAATTAAACATGACTAGATTTTTGCAAGTGTTGCCAAGCGACTTTTTCATGAAAAGTGGTATCTATTTACGCTGAATAACCCTTGATAATATCCCAAATCTTTAGAGTACTATTAAGAACTAAAAAAATATATGACATTTTCTTGTATACTTCCATGCGAAAGGTCACTGGTTCGAAGGTAACTATATTTTTGCAAACAAAATATTAAGATAGACACCGCAAATTGGAAGGAGCTCGGCCGATAATCGTACCCGCGATTAAAATATTCCGAGTTCAATAATATTTCTCAATTTTACATTAATTATAAGAGGTGTCTGAATCGTGAAAATTTTATAATAGAGTAATTTTTTATGAACACTTTTAAATATTCGAAGTGGATTCAATATCCTGACGGAGCCTGTGGTGTTGCTCAGCGTCAGCTTATACAACCGTTCAGATATAGCGGCAAAGAGACAGCTCCGTCCTTCTATCGACAAAGTGATATGTATCGCTCATTTCGCAGGGACCATTTCTAATATTTGGCGCATGGTGAATATTAGGTGAAATGAATATATGCCAGGTTTGAAGCCTCTTTGATGAGATGCAAACAATTCGTTGACGGAGGGCTTTAATCATTTACACAATACCCTCAATAAGCCACGATTACTGGCGTGGATCGATTTAGGCTCCAATCATCAGGCAAGCACCGATCGTATAAAACGTTTAAAATTACAAACTTTGTTAGTTCTTAGCTACCATATCTGAACAACTCCGCTTATAAATAATCGGCTTTTTGTTGCACAAAACATTCGACATCAAAACATCTTTTTTCAGGAAAAATACAAACAACACTTAGTTTACAATAAATACGTACGATATTCGTTAACAATTTTGGGTAAGTCCCTTCTCAATCCATAAGAAGACTCACCGAAAAACTCTTCTTTGTCACATGAATACATACTATTTGCGTTGTGCCCTTCATCACGCTTCTGGGATGCCAGTGACCTTCCCAAACCGGGCATTTCAGATAAATCACCAAAATTAGAAACTTTTATCTGAAGAGCTTTAACCATTTCATGGGATCTGAATTCTATGTAGCAAAACCTAAGTCCATTAAAACTCAAGGTATTGTAACTGCGCAAGAATATATATTGTGACTGCACCAACAATCTGATATAAATATTATAAATAAAGAAATCTCTATAGAAATTGGTCAATATTAAGTATGTAGTTTATAATATGATAGCTCCTACGCCAATCCCATCAAGCCTCAACTGATTATATGAAATATTTATCAAATAAGGTCATAATTACCATATGATTCGATCGAGATTATGCCTCCTTTACAATAATATTGTTATAACGGATTGTTTAGCTCTAACATTATCCAAAAGTTCTGGAAAATTAATTTAAATAAAAAATTAAGTTAAATTTTCTAATTATGGTCGCTCCTCGGCAGAGAATGTCCACTACCTCGAGTGTATTTCTGACATGAAATAAAGGCTCCTCGTCAAAAAACCATCAGCCTCTCGGAGGCCGTAGGTCCCTCTATTCGTTAAAAAAACATCAAGGCGCAAAACTACAAATTGGAGGAGGAGCTCGGCCGAAAAATCGCTTCAGTGGTTACAAAGCGCCAATTATATATATATGTCTGTATGTGCAGGTCTAATTTTTGTTTTCCTCAAACTCACAAATAGTCATCATTAGAGTTAGGGTGCGAATACGCAATTTTACTGAAAAAAAGCTTTGACAAAAAGCCCTAACCAACTTCGTAACTGCCTCAGCTATTTCAACTCTGAATAAGGGGTATGAGAATTATAAGTATACTTACACCCGATTGTATTGCGTACAGGGGTATATCAACTTTGTTCAATAATAAATAAAATTATGGACAGATATATTCAACAACATGTTGTTGTTGTAGCGAGTCGCTAACCCCGCTTAGGCACAGGTTTGGTCAATCTAAGTCGCATAGGTCATCTAGTGGGAGGTCCAGGAAACAAGCTGTTTCGAAAGGGTTGGACAAAAGGAAGAGAGGAGTTACATGATTTAGTTTGAGAGGGCATGTGAAAAGGTGGTTAGTGTCGTACGAATACTTTCCACTTGCAGGGCATACGTTGGGTATGCTGGGGTCTAGTTTGGATAAGTAGGAGTTTAACCTGCTACAATATCCAGACCTGAGTTGTGTCAGGGGTCACGCGGGTCTCTCGAGGCAGCTCGAGCTCGTTGTCTGCTATAGGTGTGATTTTTCTCCGAGCAAGCCATTCACTGGAAGGGAGTCCTTAAAGGTGTTGACTAACTCCTGGTGAATGACGTTCAGTGCTTGTCTGTACGCCGTCCTGTCCAGCGGTGGTTGCACATATTGCTGGATTGTGTCCTTTAAATCTAGTGCTCCTTTTCTGATGTTCCTAGGTGGAGGTTCAGCTTCTAGCAACAAAATCCGTCTCATGCAACGGTTGGCCTTAAATATATAAAATTCTCAATTGCTTGTAGTCAATAATGAAATTTATATTCGCACTAGCAATCTTTATTTTATGGTGTTACTATTGGAAATTGATTTGAATGGGTATAATGCGGACCATATTTATATGTAAACGTACATACATATGTATATAAGCCTATGCGAAATTTAAAAAAAATTTATAATGGGTCCTAGTGCGCACGAGCTCAATAGAGTCGGCGTCGCTCAATAGACTCTAGATTCGTTAGCATGTAATATTTATAACATTAGCATCCTCAATTCAATGAAATTTGGTGTTTATTTTACTTGGCATCAAAAATGACTATCACATTCATATGTATTTGTAAAATATTTTGCCAATTTGTATTATATATGAAGAATTACAATATCCGTATAACTCAAATAGTTGTTCGGTGCCAGTGGAACTTAGCCGTTCCTTATTTGTTTTTGTTGGCTTAGGAAGGTGTGTATGTATACGTTATTTTTGTGAAACCAAAAGCTTAAATTCAAGTATGAACCAGCCATTTTGTAGCGTTTTCACCTTTTGTCTCTCAGTTAAACAAAGCTTTACTGATCAGTTAACGTGAAGCAACTTCAGGTTGCAGTCAGATGTAACGGAAATATCTGGCGTATATATTATTACATGCAGTAGTACTAATCGTTAGTGCAGTGAAAATAGGAAATTCATACATACATATGTAACTGAAATGAATTCACAATCAACGAATTAAAAATTCCCTTTCGCAATTTCATTCGGAAAGTAAAAATAGCCAATATGGAATAGAACGCATTAATTTGCATATTAATACAAAGAATGTTTATAACAATACTTGCATAAATATGTGTCAAAGTGTGATATTTTAATGACTGCGAATTCCGCCTCAAACTACATACATACGTATGTATGTATGTATGTATGTATGTATGTATGTAAATACTAGTACCAATTAATGCATTCAAGCTAAGCTTATGTACTAGTATATTATTATGTACATATGTATGTAAACATGAACAAATTAAGTTTGTGAATGCAAAATATAAAAAGCTTATCGATTTGCGAATGGGAAACGATCAAGATTGCACTTTGTAAAAGGACTGGCTGACTGTTTGATTTTTAATATACGAATATCTATTTAAAAATACCTATAGATAAATTAACATGTATGTATAGGCGGCGGAAAATCGCTTAAGCGTTTATAAAGTATAAATACATATATATGAATTCATAAGTTACGTGCATTATTTTTTATTGCTGTTTCTCGGCTTTAACTATTTATGTAAATGTATGTATGTACATATATGGACATACTATGCTTAAATGTGTATGTATATGGACGTAGTTTGTGCATGTTGGTACATTTGTATAAGTAAAACGTAAAAAGCTTTCCCAATTGAAAAAAGTAAACAAGTTTGAAGCATTTTTTCTGATGTACTTAAAATATACGTCCCATTTTTCTTTCTTCATTGAATTACAGTGCTAAAAGTTTAACAGAAAGCCCAATGAAACTATGAAAATATTTTTTTTCATATATTAATATGTATAAAGACATGTAAAATGTGGTAAAATGTGTATAGTTCATCAACGCCAAGTATTAATGTTGTGGGATACTAAAAAACAAGTTTTGGGCTCGAAATGTCATAATAAGCAGTAAGTGGTTTACACCGAAATAATATGAAAACGAATGTTTACTCTATGCCTTTGAACGCTAACATTACATATTTATTTATGTACATATGTATCTTATATATTTAACTTTACATATTTACTTATGTACATTTGTATCTTATATATAAAATATATATATATATATATATATGGATATGTAAATATATTTATATCTTCTTTAAATTTCAAACCAGTCATTAGTGCTTCATTTATGTACAAAACCTGTTATATTGTTAATAATTAGTTATTACATTGCATTATTTATGAAACATTTAGATCACATACATATGTTAAGATTATTTTGATAGTGAAGAAGAAAAATTCATAAACACGTCTCCAAATATCATGCATAAGTACAATACATCTTTTGATTTTGTAAACTTCTTCCATCACTAAGATCTTTTTTCCCTCATTCTTGTATATAATCAATTAATTTACTTGTAGTGGCTATGATAGGGAGTCATGGATAAGTAATTAAATTGAATCCTAAGTGATATTTCACTAATAAAATATTTATGTAAATCAAAACGATTAAAATAATGTTGCAGCCAGCAAAGCGGCTTCAATGTTCAATGTGAAAAAAGTTCAGCGAAAAAGATTATAAAATTTGTTAATAAACTTAAAGGAGCTCTACTGAGTGCAGAAACATATATCATATGAATAATATTTTCATACAAACATATGTACTTACTTTCTTACTACATTTTTTTTTTTGAAAATCAATTCTCATTTCGGACACCTCACCATCAGTCGAAGCACAATTACGTGAGGCCATTAAAGTAAATAAATTACTAGGAGACAAACGAATTGCAGATGGATTCCATGCATTTGGTTTGCTATCTACTTGTAGTACTACTTGTGGCAGCGGTTTTAAACTTAGAGCCTTAAAATCTAATTACCTAACTTACTGAAGGCGAATTCAAATATGTAGATACAAATTGTAGCATAACAAAATTGTAAATATTTGACTATAATTATTTTTCGCGAAGCCAGAGATGCTCAACAAACAAAATGATACCATTCATTAATAAACTAAATAAGCTCCATTTGAAAAATTAATTTTCTTTAGTTTTGGACTTCGAATGGTAGTATGCACTGCTAACCACTCGGATGTTGAGACCACATATTATATTCTTGTTTAAAAAGTAACGACAACATTTCGTTGCGGTTAAAGTCGTTTCACATTATCCCTTACATTATACAAATATATACTATCGGATCCGGTGAATTTCTCCTCGCCTACATTCCATGCCTATGGAGTAATTGCAGAGTGATAACAAAATTAGACAATTCAAATCTTAAGATGAATTATTTGAATGGACTCGAAATCAGCAGAGAACAATATGGTCTTGGCTGATTAGTTTCTCTGTGGAACAACAAACAACAACGACTGTTTGTCAAAACCCTAACAAGCAACTTAGACTGACCATGAGAAATTCGTAAGCACTTCTTTTGCATTTTCTTAAAATCAATTTGTCGGCTAATAGAACGTATTAGTCAAGTAAAGAGCCTCTCCCTAAATTATAAATGAGATTATATGTATATATATATATATATATATATATATATATGAGATTAAGTGTATATAATTGGCGCTATGTAACCGCTGAAGGGATTTTTTCGGCCGTGCTCCTCCTCCAATTTGTGTATTTGCATCTTGATGCTTTTCCAAAAAATAGAGGGACAACTTATAGTAAGCCGCACGGCTAATGGTTTTTTATGAGTCGCTTTATTTCATGTCCGAAATGCTATTTAAATTAGTTTTTAATAACTTTGTGTTGGTGGCACTCGGCTACCGCGGTGGCCTGCATGTTAATCTGAACGATAATCTGCCAATCCATTAAATTTCAAGTGTACCGAGTCATAAATAAGATTTTCTCGTATAAATCGATCAATGCTTCTCAATTTAGGAAAATAAAAATAAATTTGTTCAGCAATTTTAATAGGCATATGTATGTAGATAAGGGATTCCCACTCGAGGGAGATCGCTTACGTACTATAAATTAACCACTTGGCTCGTTCTGAGAATTGTTTTTTCTCTCACTTGCAATATGCTGCATATTTAATTGAAATGACAATTGCTAAATGCAAAAGGCTGCCTCTTTGGTAAGTTTCAAGTGAATCGGACCATAAATACGATTTTTTCGATTACGTCAAGTCCTGGTCTACTTCCGAAGAGAAGAGTAGAATACCTGCTAACCTAAGCAAAAGGCTGCATATGCGCCAAATAGGAAGTTAATCGAACAGTAAATACTAATTTGCTTTTATCCACGGCCGGGTCTGAAAAATAGTCGATCCATACCTATCCGATTTGTACATAAAATTTGACAAAAAAAGGACAACCGATTCAGAGGAGTTTTTTTTACAAACACTGTGACACGAGAATTTCATATAGTGATTATACAAATATTTTGTTTCTCTTTTTTTAGGTTTTAATGCAGAACATTTTTTTTGGCCCGTTATCTACGAGTATACGATTAAAATCTATTGCAATTTTAAATGGAAAATGAGGCGTATAGTTTGAAAGGCATCCAACTACAAAATATAAAACTTTGACGATATTGCTAAACTTGGCTCAAAAGTATAGCGATAGTAATGTAAATAAATGGCTACGATTAAAAAGCGGTGATGATGATGATTAGTCAAACCCGAAATTTTGCAGTTGAGCTGATAGTAGTAGTGCTTTTTTTGACAACTTTCAACAGTAGCACTACCAGAAGTGTTGTTATATCACCGAGAAACCATAGTAGAGTAATAGCAGATGAAAAGGACATTGTGCATGAAAAATCGATATCTATTGAACCAATAGCTGCCACATCACAATTGCTGCAAAAGGACAATACTACACAAAATAAAACAGTAAACTTAAAACTGAAAGGGGAAAAGGAAACTCAAACTTCGAGGACTCCATTGAATTTGGAAAAGGAGGCTGCAACATTAGTAATATCAACAGCTTCAACAATATCTGATTTCCTACCTGTTGAATATTCATCGACAACAGCTTATACAGAAATTTCTGAAAACATAGAAAGCCACGAGAATACTTCAAAAGAATTGTTCGGCGCTGCTGAAGGTGAGGAATCTCATATTATGTACATAGAACATGAACAGCACTACTCGCAATATAAAAAATGGAATTAAAAACACACTGCATAGGTTTCATCCCTATTAAAATTTGCTAGAGGAATTCTTTCTTTTATCTCTGCCTTTTTTGGCTGATATGATTTTACCTTTCCTTGACCCCTCTTTTATTATTGTTAGAATGACTTTCTTATTAGATAGCACTATTTCCTTGTGTAAAACGTAAGATCAAGGAGAGCTTATAGTGCTACTGTAGGGCATGTTCTCATGCATCCAATTATGCAGAAACATGCTAATCTTTGCAATTTAGTTAGTGCAGCCTTGGACGTGTTTAACTTTCCTTTTTCTGACCCAGCGACTGCTCCATATGTTATTGTTGGTTTTACTATCTTGGTATACATCCAGTGCAGTATTTTGGGGGTGCATCCCCATGTTTTCCCTGCTAATTTTCTGCATACCATTATTGATCTTCTCGCTTTACTTATCATATACTCCATGTGTCATTTCCATGTTACTTTAGCATCAAAGATCACCCCCAAATATTTCGTCTCACTGGTAGGATCTATTACTACATTGTTTAGTTTTACGTCGTTTAAACTTAATTTTCTCCTCCTTTTAAAAGCACTATTGCTGTTTTTATTGTTCCTTGTTAGTTTGAGTGCTCTCTGTATAATATCACACAGTGTGCTCTCAAATTTACCTACTGCTATTACTACAATGTCATCAGCATACCCTTGACATTTTATGCCATTGTCTGTAAGGAGCTCTAGCAGGTCATCTACTAACAGGCTCCAAAGGAGTGGTGATAGTATTCCTCCTTGGGGGCAACCTTTTGTGGTCTTTATCTGAATTGTTTCATTGTCTGCAATTGTCTCTGCTATTCTGTTGTTAAGCATGAAGTTGATCAAATTTCGGATAGGTTCTTCTACTGTTTTCTCACGAAGTACTTTGCCGACTGCTCCATGAGAGGTATTGTCGAATACTCCTTCAATGTATGCATGTTGGGCTGGATGTAAATGTATGTTTCTTATTGTAGATTAGTTGTTCTTATGTGGTTATCGATTAGCTTTTCCATAGCTTTTAAGTTGAAAGATGTTAAACTTATCGGCCCGAAAGATTTGGCTACTGTGTAATCCTTTTTTCCAGGTTTGGGAATAAATTTTAATAATGCTCTTCTTTATGGCGTTGTGCCAATTCAAGGCTTTCTCTCATGATATGTACCAGTGCGGATATTATTAGTTCTCCGTTTTGTAATAGTGCTGGCCATATGCCCACTCCACCGAACTAAAGTTGGCTAACAGCCAGGTATCTTTGTCTGGGTTTTGGTTTTCCCCATTACTTGTAGTAATTTCTGTTTTTAATTCTGGGAAGTGAGTTTTGAGAAGGTCCATCGCTCGTTCCTTTTCATTCTTGGTGTATTGATTATCTTCTAGCTTTTGTGCCATTTTACTTTCAACCGTATCTTTTGCCAATGCTTTTTGTAATCTGGCAGCTTCCGGTACAGAGGATATACCCTCGCAGAAGTTCCTAAAGTTCGATCTTTTTGCTTCCCTTAATTCTTTATTGAAGTTGGTAAGAGTTCTTTTGTATTTCTCCCAGCTATCACTTCTTTTTGCTTTATTAAACTCTTTTCTTACATCTCTTCTTAGTGATGTTAAGTGTGCGTTCCACCACGACGTACATGTTCTTGCTTTAGGCTTCGATAACTTGCAGCTCGAGTTAAATGCTTCTGTTAAGCTGTTATTTAAGTATTCTACATTCTGTTCTAACTCGTGAAAATTCCTTGATTTGTTTTTTTATTTCTTCCCTGTTTATATTTAAGTCTAACAGTGCTTTGTAGTTTGTCCAGTCAGTGCCTGGAGTTTCTTACTAGTCTCCACTGGAACTCTGCCAGAGAATTGTCTGATTCTATGATCTGACATAGACGGTTCCGGCGATACCATCCATTGTGAGATCATTCTCTCAGATCCCTTATAACCTTAGTGTATTTTCCTTTTAATCGCCATACCTGACCTTTGTAGGTCCATGGCTCTTGCGCCAGAACAACGCCCAGACCATCCGAGGTTATTTTATGCGTTATTACAGCCGAGACAGCAACCGCATGGTGTGGATTGATCTAGCCAATCTTTATGTTTGGCGTCATTCCTCTTTGCCCGTGTGGTCCTCGAAGTTGAAGAGCATCAGGTCCTCACTACTACTGCCTGTTCTAATGAGGTTCAGCCCTTCAGCCAGTTCCACAAGTTCTCTAGTCGAAGGGATAATTTCGTCTGCTACTACGTTCGGTGTTTGGTTCTTATTTTGGGATGAGCTGCATTTCAGTACAGCCCCTTCTTCCACTGCTGCAGCTTCGGGTGGTGGCGCTTCTTCTTCTTGCCCTCCTCATTTCTAAGGTTTGACAAGTATACTGCCGAATCTAAAATTGAGCCTGAAGCTGTTCTTCGACATAGAGTTGAACGACTTGTCGTCTACACATAGATTTAGCTTCAGACGCGTTCCTTCAGCCTTCTCGTCCAACACCTTCCAGTGAGAGGAGTGGAACCCTTGCAGAGCATGCGTTCCGCACAATGGGATATAGACTCTTATTATTTTTGTTTACTCAAAGAATATTGAGCTAATTTTTAGATAGCAGTTAAGCCATTCAAAATATATATATTTCTAAATGTTCACGTTGAATTCTTGTAAATTTCATGTGATCTGCTGACCCTACTTTAGGTATTCCAACTCGATTTGATCAACCCTAAACGTAAAAAAACTGCAGATTTGGACTATCAAACAGAAACAAGCAGAAAGCTATTAATGTATTTTTTACACACATATGATGTGTATATTCTAAAATTAAATATTATTGACTGCTAAGATCTTACTTTCCTTCTTTGCAGATGTTGAAATTTCTACTATTTTTTCTACGACATTTAGACCGGCTTGGTCCTCGCTTTCATCAAACATATCCGCTCAGGAGAGAGAGCGTAGGCTCATGTTAGTTTTAGCTGCTCGCCGTAATGCTCTACAAAAAGGAAGTTTTAGTACACGCATTGTAACCACGGGTAGAACCGCTACAGTGCCTTCAGTGGATAGTACGTCTAAAACACCGACTGATCGACGATCAATATGTTTAAGAAATTGCACAAAGAATTTTACCCGTCGCACAACAGCAAGTTGTATGCGTCAGTGCTCTAATTTCTCGTACTCTGGCCATTTGATCAACTCCAATGAAACTAGTAAAACCGTGATGATCGTCCGAAAATCATCATTAACGGGTCGTGGTACGCAAACATTTGATCGAGAAAACAATGAGGTCCTATTTACAGACGAATCATCGCACGGACTTTTTGTTATAGTAAAAGAGCAAAATGACACCTTAAATCATATTCCAGCTATAAAGAAAAGTATAAAAACACGTTCTAGAAATAATCTTTTATCACCAGTAACGGTAGCTCCTAGCTCCATGGAAGATGATAATGTTCAGCCTTATCTGTACTTTGGTGAAAAACTTCCTCCCATTAAACCAGCTACGCTGACAATTACTTCAGTTAGTCATGAACAGCCCATGCTGTTAGAAGTTTCATCTATACAGTTAGATTCTACAACGCCAAAATCTTTAATATCCACATCATCATTATCAGCAGTTGAGCGTAGTCGAGCACGTTACAAGTACCGAGATCGAGGATATGTAAATTCTAGGCGGTCTCCTCCTCATGCAAGTGCGCCCAAGTCATGGGAACCGAAGAGTAGACTTGTATTAAATTCCTCTACTATAGCATCCTTAACAATGGAAATAAATGATGAGCAAGTAGAAAAAGAAAAAATCCCAGTGGTATCTTCTACTCCAATAATAGTAACTAAGGTGGGTGGGAATGAAACATTACAATCTAATTACCGTTCGCAATTACTACTAAAACAAACAAAAAAATCTATTGAAACTACTACAACCTTCAACACTTTGGTTTCCTATCCAACGAATGTGGAAACTTCACATAGCATCACGACAACTCCAACTTTGCTAAAGGCGATAACAATAGCGACTACGAAATTATATCATCCAAGAGATAATCACACTACTATTCACGCCTATTCGCCCGCATCTTCCACCACAACAACAATGAATATCACTAGCAAAACCACAAATTTAGAAAAATCATTTACAAGTACCACCAGTAAAAGGCTCATAAATAGTGATACACAAAATATTGAAAAAATGGAACCAAATCTCAATATAGAAGTTGACCACTATAACACGACTGCTAATTCAAATTCCTCAGCATATCCAAAGACAATCATTGACGAAGATATTGAAAAACTTAGGGCTCTTGGTCCAAGCCTCACACAAGAAATAATAAATGATGAGAACATTGTTATATTTCTCAATCAAACGACTCCAGATACTATATCAATTATTTCCACCAATTCACCAACTTCTATACTTCGTACTACAGAATGGACACCTGAACTTTCATCTCCGAATTCCAACACTGAAATTTCATATTTGCCAACGGAAACTAGTTCATTAAATAAAGATACTAAGCCGTCCTTTGTGGGCGTTATAGAGACAACACCGATTAAAGTAAATAATGAGTTTAACGCTAATGAGAGTCATGTAAAATCTAGTTATGTCGTCAATAAAAATGAAGTCACATTAGATGTGCGACGTGTTAATATTGCCACAATAGTGCTAGCCGGAATTTGTATAATACCTCTCTGTGCACTAATTCTTTATCTTATGCGCTCTTATATATTTCGACATGATATTAAAAATGAAGAGGAGTTCGATGTATGCGTAGGCGACCAACAGCCTATAAGTCCTATTAAAAAAATCGACTCCAAATATCAAATCAAAAACGATGAAGGAGAAAATGGTGCTAGCCGTAAGGGTATTCAGGCATTACATTTGCAATCAAACCACAATTTGCCGATGGTGCTTAGTAAGGTTTCGTCTCGAGATACAAATCATAACAACCACTATGATGAACAGTGCTCTGTGACTAGTGATCAAGAATTCGATCGTAGCAATATACGTCTGAAAAGTTTGCTTGGCGAGGGCAACTTTGGCCAAGTGTGGAAAGCAGAGGCTGACGATCTTAGCGGACACTTTGGAGCTACTCGAATTGTTGCCGTAAAAACAATAAGGAAATGTAGTGGTCAAGTTAGTTTAAAAGAGGAAGCAGAAGTTATGCGGAAATTGGGTTCTCATCAGAACGTTGTTACTCTTCTTGGTGCTAGCTTGGAGATGGGTTAGTGCTTATATTAAAGTTCATGACCACAGTTTAGTGCTTGTTTAAACAAATCTACTGCTCTATTTTCTTTAAAATGTGTTAGACAGACGTCTTTGGTAATTGTAGTGTTGATAATTAAATAAAAAAACTCATATTGATTGGATATTGAAAGATTACATCCAAAAGTATTATTTTAATTTTGAATGCGATCTCCTTTAGAGAAAAACCAGTAGAGCATAATAGCTATCATATAAATTCTATTTTTGTTCAAATTAATAAGTATCTGCCTAAAGCATGCCTTTATTAATATTAGTTCAAAGCACATCTTCTGTCTGCAGTGGATATACATTCATATGTACATACATATGTAGGTAGATAAATCAAAATTATGCATACATCTATGTATGTCCTCGACAAGAGAAATAATTACAAAACGCTAGTATTTTCAAGAACCACACAGATATTATATTTATGAGATTTAACCAAACAAGTTCGTTCTTTATTACTCATAGAGCCGCATATGCTGATAATGGAATATGCGATGCGAGGGCGACTATTGTCACTATTACGAGCCGCGCGCAATGCTACCAATATATTACCGGCGTCGGTACCGGGAGGCCGAAGCTTAACACCTCTATCACCGCGAACTCTCGGTGGATTTGCATTAGACATCGCATGTGGAATGGAATACATCGCTGAAAAGAGAGTAATTGCTATAATAAGCTAAAATACTTTTTTAACTTTGTTCACTTATACACTTTGACCATTTTTTACAGATTGTTCATCGTGACCTTGCAGCACGCAATGTTCTTCTTGATCACAATGGAATTTGCAAAATTTGTGATTTCGGCATGTCAATTGATTTGGATATTCAGCTTAAAGAGCCAGAAAAAAACACTGAACATGATAAAAAAAAGAGTAAATTTGACTTTGGCAGTCGCTATATAATAAAACAATGGAATAATAACTTTACCGTTATTCCGACTTCAACAAAAGATACGGCCGATAAGAAACCCCACATCCACGGAAATGGTCAATGTCATGATACAATTAATCGGCGACCGCCATTACCAATACGTTGGATGGCACCAGAAGCACTACAGTATCACATTTTCACTCATGAAACTGACGTATGGGCTTTTGGAATTGTGCTATGGGAAATAGCTACACTCGGTATGAGATCAACGAATTCATTTGCTTTTAATTACTATATCCTTATTAATATTTCCTCAGGATCTACGCCATATGCCAATTTGTCAGGCCGTGAAGTCATAAGACGAGTTCCAAATGGGCTAAGGCCAGATTTACCTAGAGAAGGACGTAATGAATTCTCCAATTTAATGACTCGTTGTTGGCTAAAGGAGTCACATTTACGGCCATCGTTCACGTTCGTACGCCAAGAAATTTCTCGTTCTCTACAAAAATGGGTCGATGACCACTCTACAGCTTCGGACTATATGGATGTAAGCGGGTTTAGTGAAGATCTGGAACAAGGCATGGTTTATTTCAATCATCGAATATCTGAGTTTGAATGTGAAATATGACGATAACTAAAATCTTTACCACTGAATCTTTTTATATTCGTCTGGCTATATGTATTCTATCTGTACTTTATCACAATTACATTCCGTTGTTTAACAGTCGAATTTCATCCACATACTCGTAGAAAATATCGATTTGGTTAGATTTGTGTCAATAGCTTTATCCCGAAAATATTTATTTTAAATTATGTCCTAAGGACTAAAGTGCTTGCTGCAGTATTATATAATTTTTTTCTCCAAATTTAAAACTTAGAGGATCCATGTATTTATATATATGCATATATTTATGTATGTATATGTACGAGTACATATATCTTTGAGTAACGAGAATGAGTTTTATTTTATAAAAGTTGTATATTTTGTAGGTTATTAATAATAATTTATAAATTTATGTTATTTAATGTCAAATGGGCGGCAGCTTTAATTATATAAAATTAAAGAGTTAACTTAAAAACAAATACTATGCAACCATAACTATTGTAAATATGTGTATTTGGTTTTGAAATTGTAAGCACCTTGAATAAGTAGCGCTGTGAGATTTTGATGAATTGATAAATTTATACATTCTGACCATAGATAATTTAAGATTTTAAAAATAAGATACTTACATTTATGAAACGTATATGAAAAATGGCTAATTTTTTGACTATAAGATACGGATTTTTCTGTCTAGAATTCACAGAACAGGCCAGTTACCGAATCGTAGCAAATAAAAAAATTACTTAAAAAGTTCTGAGAAATAAATAAATATGAACTTGCGAAATATCATTAATATAATAAATACACTTTAATAGATTTCAAGGCGATGGTGCTAACAGGTCGACTAAGTGGCTGTGGTTTGAGACCGTTGTTGTTAAATATGTAATAACTATTATAACTGTTTTTATCAATAAAAATAAGAATTAAATCGCGCTTCCACTCGAAATAAAATATAATCCATGCAACAGTTAAAACTTATTCAAGGTTTTAATAAGAGAATATGGTATTTCGAAAGAACACTTATATTAAACTTATATTTTGAGAAAAATGTGCAAGAAAGTACGCCAAAACTGAGCTTGCTCATTGCCTCGTACACCAGACTACCTTTAAAATTATTGTGCATAAACAGATACTATCGCATATAGATAATTATGGACATAATAATCCTTATAATAAAACATAACATCTAAATTAGTTCTTCTAGTCCGTACAAAAAGTTTTGCTATTTTGCCTTATCAAATCACTGCGCGCATTGCAGATACATATATGTAAATTAAATGTATACTTTTATATCACATACATATATAGTATTAAGTAAAACATTGAATTATCGGAAAACCAAACCCATTCATAAAAATATACATTTTGGATAATTAAATAGTTAGCTAAAAATCAACACCTTATTTCACACTAAAATATTTAAATAGGTGTAGAAGTGTTTGTATTATGATTGTAAAAGCACGTACAAAATTGCAAGTTATTTGCCATGAAATTCACATATGTACATATCATAATAAAATTGTTAAATCATTGTTTTGGTTTCTGTTACTCTTTAAAGATGAAATAGTTTATATTGTTTTATTTATACAACGTATAAACTGTTATCTGTTGTATAGCTATATCGTCTCTTTGTGTTAATGCAGATTTCAACTGTTTACAATTTATAGTAGCTTCATTTGTTCTCTTTAACTTTGGTAATTCGATTTTAGCTTGTTTCATAATTGAATCATAAAATATTGCATTGTTTTTAATACATAGTGCTTCCCCCACGCTGAATTAGCGTTACATCGGCCACACTTGCGACCATATGATAATGTTCGATCGCATGAAAATCAAGTACATCTCTCACATAAAGGAAGTATTCAAATATACAATAACCGCGATAGCTAATTGAAGTTAGCTTGGTACATATGACCACAGTTGAGTAAAAACATTGAATTTTAAATATTATATAAGTACTTCCCACTTTCATTTATGGTCTAAAATCGTCATTTAAAAATATAATTTTCAATTGATATTATTTTTTTAAATCATAGCAAAAACATTGTAGTAAATAATAAATAATAGCACATAAAATTTGTATCGCATGCATAAGGCAATTCTTATTTTAAAATTTTAGTTATACACTCTTAAATTCACTTCTTTTATCACTTAATTTGCGGTACGATATTATGGCACGAAATGTTATTTTATTTTAAATAGTCTTGTAAGAATCGATTTCCAAACTATGTAAGGTATCGATTTCCAAACTATAGAAATCGTTTGGTTTTGGTTATATTAATTTTAGAAAAACCCGTTCCACATTCGCTGACGAATACGGCAAGCACATCATATGGGATAGCGTATGCATAATAAATTTACTTACATACTACTTACTTTACTGCCGAAGACACCGGTTACGCGATTATAACCGATTTAACAACACTATTCGTTTATTCTTTTTGCTGTTTGGCGTCAATTACAAACACCAAGTACAGCCAGGCCCTACCCGAGATAGTCTTTCCAACAGAGTTGAGGTCTTCCTCTTCTTCTGCTTCCACCGGCGGGTACTGCATCGAAAACTTTCAAAGCTGGAGTACTCGTATCCATCCGGACCACATGACCTTATCAGATTAGCCGCTGCCTAACTATGTCAATGTCGCCGATAACTCGTACAGCTGATCTTTCCATCGTCGGCGATATTCGCCGTTGCCAATTCGCAAAAGGTCATAAATCTTACGCAAAATCTTTCTCTTGAAAGCTCCTAACATCAAAAAACTTCAGATGTCGTCATCGTCCATGCTTTCGCAACATATAGCAGGACGGGAACGATGAGGGACTTGTAGAGTTCGGTTTTGCTTCGTCGGGAGAAGTCTTTACTTTTGAATTGCCTACTCAGTCCAAAGTAGCACCTGTTGGCAAGAGTGATTATGCGCTGGATTTCAAGGCTGACATTATTATTGGTGTTGATGATATCGTTAATATATATATATATATATCTCAAAATCGGAAACTTTCAATTCGGTAAGCTTATCCCGTGCGTAAGCTCTGCATAAATTTGATAGTTTAAAAATTGTATTTACATTATTAATAGAAACTTGAATAGAAAAATTATGGAAATATATAAAGAAAGTCGTCATTGGAATAAAATATCGTAACACTAAACAAATTTTGAGCATACCAAAAGATATTTACCTAGCATTTTATTATTTAACTTTTAAAATATAATACAATTTCCTTAATATGAACTTAGCCTGCATTTAAAATTTCATACAATTTCCTTAAGAGTAATAGTATATAGTATATAATTGTCGCTTTGCAACCGCTGAAGCGATTTTCCGTCGAGGTCCTCCTCCAATTTGTGGTAATTGCGTCTTGATATTTTTCCAACCAAATGGAGGGACCCACTTGGCTACCGCGGTCGCCAAAGCAATAGTAGTACAATAAAGACATCTTACTCTCCGAAAGAAATAAATTTACTGAATTTTCACCGAACAGGATTCAGTAAAAACTAACATGTCGGGCAACAACTGTTTATTTTGGCTGTTAAGTTTGAGTCTGTTCATTTATTTTTTTCTGATTTTAAGTATTTTAATAAAAGATTTCAATTATATAACATTTTAAATTTAGTAATTGTGTTCAAGATTTATTGTATTCCAACAATTATGAAATTCTAATCGTAAATGCTTTATAAGCGTATATATACGCGGTTTACATAGCATACAAAAGAAATAACAATACAACAAGAAATTCGTTTTCAAAAATCAGCAAAATAACGTCTTTAATAGTGACGCAGCTCCTCAGTTCCACGAACGCCTCCGTCATAATCGTTGCTCCTTTGAAGTATAAAGACATCTAAGTGAAATTCAAAAATAATTTTCGAATGATAATGTTATTAATATTTTAATGCAGATGTACCTCGCAAAGTTTTGTTGAAAATTTTTGAGATGTGCTTCTGCTGCAAAATGAGAAGCGTCCATTCTACTCAACCAGCTCCATTAACAAAATTTTCCGCACAATGTGGGGTACCTTAAAAAAAAAACAATGTAAAGAGTCATGAAAAATTAAGTAGTTAATTAATCCACAATATATTATTACCACAGCTTGTTCAGTATCCTCATAACGATAAAAACGATAAAAAATTGCGTTCTACCAGAAAATGAGAACAAAAAAAATCAGATAATTCGTTCAATTGCATTCATTTTCAATTAATATGTAGTGAAAAGAGAAAGCTAAGCAAAAAAATGTGCATATGTGTTAGTGCTGTCCAAAAACGTGGGAGTGTATTGGTGCACCCATCAGCCAAAACTCTTACGTGAATCGTCTTCAATTATGCTACCCAATTTATGAATAATTTATTGCCGGTTGCAATAGCCGAGTGGTTAGTAATACGGACTACCATTTGTTGGAAAAACAAACGTGTGCCACTAAAAGCGCCAATTATATTATACGTATCTTTACAGAATTTAAGTTATATGTTCTTTAAATATCAGCTTACCCTGCAGGCTTAATAGTAAAGTTTGTTTAATTGTAAAATATGAAAAGGTAAATGGGAAAATTGAATATACGGTAAATGTTGCAGTTATTTGCAGACCTACGATGTATCCATATTTATGTTTCCATATTTTATGTGCAAATGTGTAAGTATATATAAACACAATTTATGTATGAACAAAATTTAAATTGAACAGTTGTACGTGTAGTTGATATTGCAACGGTATTCCTCACCGAGCGCTCAAAGTTTATGACTCATAAGAGTAATATATTTCAAGTAGGCACACATTGACGTGACTTTTCAGAAACCATTAACGTTTTCGACTCTCTGAATTTTGGCACTTGATTCATTCTTGAGTCGTATTGTCTGGAGTTGAATTAAGGTGTTTAGGCAGCGGTTGGGAGTTCGGGCACTAGCTAAAGCACAAACAGTAATTTAGTTTTTCAAGAGTAAGAAAACTTTTATAGCTATAGATTTCAGGCATGAAGAGCAATATTTCTGCCTAAGGTTGAGTTGCTCTGTTGAATACGTCTTTGCTTCTTTGTATTATTACATTGCCAATAACGAGTGTTACAAAGGGCCTATTAATATAAAACTCCATATATTATTTAAGCAATAAATTTTATACTTTTGAGCTAACAGTTAGCGGTTGTCGCTTAAGCTAAACGTCTTGGTTGTAAAAGTATGAACGTTACTGCCCATACTAGCAAGCTCATAGAAGCCAAGTCAACCAATTCAAAATGCGGTAAACAGCTGATGTAGCAGCAGTATTAGCAAACATCTTGGAGATGAGCAGCAAGTTAGAAGTATTCAGTTAACAACAAGAGCTTAACGCAGCAAGACGATTCGGAATGACGAGTTAGACATCAATATTTAACGATATTCAACCGGTTTTAACAGTTGAACAGTGCTGAAATTTCTCCCAAAGTGAAGTATACATTAAGTGTTGAACTATATATGTATCAAAAAGCGTAAGAGACCACGAACTTATTACAAGATTTTACAGTGATAACTGATTAAAATTAAAAAATTTCGGATTCAAATACGAAAAATTTCCACAAATGTACATACATAATCTGCTTCCAATAACGAATAATATCTACATTAAGCCTTTATGTTACCACTGCCCTACAATAGATAGCTCCGATCGATTTCTTTCCTAAAAACCTAAATTTTTCTTTTGTGAAAAACGGCTCCAGTATGTTAAATATCTTCTTGTCATAATAAAGATTTCTTAAGCGAGTTAAATCATCAAAGAAAAACAATTATGTGGTTCTTCTTTGAACATGTGATATGATTTTATTTTAATTATAAGAAAAAATTTCCGTTATTCGTATGCTTTCTAAATATGGAGTATTATTTACATATTAAGAAAATATTAATAGCAGGTAAATGTTTACTTTTTACTAACGCAAGATGTTACATTTGCAAATAGTTTTCATAACTAAATGAGAGCTCCTCAAAAACAGTTTTTATAATAACATATCTAAACTCAAGTTCTGAAATAATTTGGAAATGTCGGACTGAACTTAAACTTTCTTTTATTAGTCAATTAAATATTTGATTTAAGCGTGTGTGCGAACGTATGTATGTGTGTGCGCCGGCGCACTTACATTATGAACTACGCATGCATACAAAAAACTCGATGGGTATGTATTTTAGAATGTGTTTGTGTCATGCTTAACAATAAATTGAAAATTGTGTCAACTTTTTCTTGTTCGGTTTCAACTTCTTTTTTTCGTAGTAAAGCCGTTACTAGTTTGCTTGTTTATGTTTGAAGTAGGGATGCCAACAAGTTTAAATCACGCAAATTCCCAAACAAATTCTCCCCAATTAATTTTGTAGATAATATACATATTATATTACTTAACTCCTACCTGTAAGACATCGGCGCTGCATTAAAAATCACTTACTAACATACATACTCATATAATGTATAGATAATCGGCGGTTTGTAACCGCTGAATTGATTTTCGACAGAGCTCCTCTTTCAATTTGTGGTTTTGCGTTTTGATGTTTTTCCAAAAAATGGAGGGATCTACAGTCGCTTCCGTACGGCTGATGGTTTTTTTTTATGAGAAACTCTATTTCATGTCAGAAATACACTCGGATGCCGAGCTAGAAATTCTAGTTTCATTTTTTATTTAAATTAATTTTCTGTAACTCTAGTACTTGCACAGAGCATAAGAACAGGAGACTTATTATTGTATGATTTTTTCTTTATTCAAGAGAACGAGGTAGGAACTAATACAGATCTGAACTGAAAATAACATTGGTCCGAATTATGAAAGCACCAGAAGGAGAACCCCGTCCATTTCTATTTAAGTCAGTCCCTCGTTTTTTAAGTTCTAAATAGTCTAGACTTTTTCTGGTAAAGATAAAATTATCATATCAATATTCTTTGTATATATGTATGTACATATACGTATGTACATATATAATTGGTCCTTTGTAACAGCTGAAACGATTTTGGGACGAGCTTCTCCTCCTCCAAATTGTTGCATGCACCCTGATTTTTTTTGCCAACAACAAGAGGTGCCTACAGTTCATACTAAGCCGCTGCCGAAAATACGCTTTCTTTGCAGTCTTATAGTTATTCGTCGATGTTATCAAAAACAAGTTTTATTTTATTTTTGCTTATAAATATGTGTATGTGCGTTCAATATTAGAGGAGGCACGAACTTTCTTTCAATTGTGAAATTTCAATATATAATATAATAATAATATACGTTTACTTATTTAAGGAGTATATAATATACATATGTATACTAACAAAAAACAAGAGTTAACTTTACGATATGAAATCGTTTCGTTTCGGCGCCTTCAAAGCGAAATGAAATCGTGAGCGCCACCGCAAAAACTCACCATTAACGCTAAATTTAAAATGGTCACTTGTTATTATTTAACAGCACACACCAATTTTAACGTTTAACATTTTAGTTAGCGATTTAACATTAACGACAACTTTTGGTTTCGGGTAAAAACTAAAAAAATATGTATTTTATTAACCGCTTTAACGTTAATATTTCCAAATGTTTAAAACAAAACGCTACAAATTTTTCGATTAACGTGCTGCAGCCTTGAATACATATTGCCAGAGATTAACCGCTTTTTATCTTCCATGAATGTGAATTTGAATACCTCGATCTAAGCCGAACCAAACGCTACTTCTCTTATCTATTTCATACAAAAAGTAGATACCCTCGAACAAAAATTCAACCAATTCGAACAATAAATTAAACGAAATAAATACTATTATTATATATGTTATATACAATGGTGTATGTGCAAATTTCTATTACCTTCTAGATATGTGTTGCGGTGGCCGAAAATGATCCTTACTGATGAAGTGTGTTTGCTTTAAAGTTGAAAGATTAAGAAAAGTTGTTTTTTTAAACAATGAATAATTTTTGACTAATATTTAAATCGACTTATAAAAAATACCTTCAAAACGACTTTAATCATTGAATCGATCTCATAAAGAACATTAAGATTCGATACCAGTATGTGCGTTCAATATTAGAGGAGGCACGAACTTTCTTTCAATTGTGAAATTTCAATATATAATATAATAATAATATACGTTTACTTATTTAAGGAGTATATAATATACATATGTATACTAACAAAAAACAAGAGTTAACTTTACGATATGAAATCGTTTCGTTTCGGCGCCTTCAAAGCGAAATGAAATCGTGAGCGCCACCGCAAAAACTCACCATTAACGCTAAATTTAAAATGGTCACTTGTTATTATTTAACAGCACACACCAATTTTAACGTTTAACATTTTAGTTAGCGATTTAACATTAACGACAACTTTTGGTTTCGGGTAAAAACTAAAAAAATATGTATTTTATTAACCGCTTTAACGTTAATATTTCCAAATGTTTAAAACAAAACGCTACAAATTTTTCGATTAACGTGCTGCAGCCTTGAATACATATTGCCAGAGATTAACCGCTTTTTATCTTCCATGAATGTGAATTTGAATACCTCGATCTAAGCCGAACCAAACGCTACTTCTCTTATCTATTTCATACAAAAAGTAGATACCCTCGAACAAAAATTCAACCAATTCGAACAATAAATTAAACGAAATAAATACTATTATTATATATGTTATATACAATGGTGTATGTGCAAATTTCTATTACCTTCTAGATATGTGTTGCGGTGGCCGAAAATGATCCTTACTGATGAAGTGTGTTTGCTTTAAAGTTGAAAGATTAAGAAAAGTTGTTTTTTTAAACAATGAATAATTTTTGACTAATATTTAAATCGACTTATAAAAAATACCTTCAAAACGACTTTAATCATTGAATCGATCTCATAAAGAACATTAAGATTCGATACCAGTACTTTATTCGCCATTGAGCATTTCTTTTATATTTTCTTTTCAGATTTAGCGCTTAATGTTAAATAAATATGAATACAATACAAATATTTTACTATTGTTTTTTGGCAATTTTATATTGCTTGCTGTATGCAGTTACTGCATTCGGCGATGAGTTGGCCGATTTTGATTTCACCGAAATCGAGTGGAATTATGATGGTAAAGATAACGAAGAACAATCACAAAATGTTGTTAAACATAACTCAATGCAGCCATTAACAATTTTTGGCGACTTTGAAGAGGAAAATCAAGTTCGTCCTATCGATTTGCGGGGAAATGTTTTAAAAAGTGCTCTTTCGAAAGCCTTAACAAATGCGTCCTTGCGCCAGAAATTTGTTGAAGTTATGCCAATACTACGGGTATTATCGTCACAACAGCGCTTAGCTCTTTCTGCATTAATTTCAGCACAAATTAATGCTAGAGAAAACCAGGTGTTAAAATTAGAGCAGGTAAAATTCTCGATATTACGTATTATCTCATTTATCTATTATCTTTAACCATCAAAGGTGCGTATGATGTTTGGAGATAACAAAAATTTGCTGCTGCCAATTGTTTTCGATATTGCTAATCTTGTGCGTAATTCAGCCAGCAAATATTTGGATTTCTCTCTTGGCATATCTGCGACTAGGCCTTTGCAAAATAAATCTGCTGACAGCCGAATGGACAATGTATCATTGGTTGAATTTGATGAAAATGATCATCCTGGAATGGTAGACATTGCGAATTTTTTTAGTGATACCGGTGAAGAAATGTTGGATCCACAGGTTATAAATGAGGAATTGCAAGTAGTGAAGAATAACACTTCAACCCTAAAAAAAAATACTTTGAGCACAAATGAGAATGCAGCAAGAAGAAGGAAAAGAGCAGTAACAACACCTGAATTTGTGCATAAACTTATACGTTCATTACCACCATCTACTAATGACGATATTAATGGTCATTTCTTGTCCGGAAAGGAAGTTAAATTAAACACGTCGGGCTTTCTCAGCTCAAAAGACTTAAATGCTGATGATTTGAATAGTATTAATAGAACAACTCTGAAAGAAGAAAAAGAACAATTACAACATGCTGTAGAGGATGATGCGTTAGCCAACTTGAACGGCACTGCACTTAATATGCAAAGGAACACCGAATTACCAGGGCGTGATTTAGATGAACCGTTACCGAGCCCGGAGGAACTTATTTCCGGACCACGATATCGTATAAGCAGTAACAAAATCCATCGTGGCAGGCCCAAGCATATGCCAACGAAACGAAAACGTATCCGGCCAAAAGGAACACTACATCACAATGCAGAGGAGGGTGTTATGTCACACAAAAAATGCGAGCGATTTACATCTTCCATGTGTATTCGAACAGAGGATTATCCGTTGTAAGTAGTACATAGCACTACATGTTGCGTTAAACTGTAAATATTACTGACTAGTAAAAAAGTTTACTAAATTAATTAAACACGTTATAATTCCATATATATATATAATTGATGCCTTGGAACAGCTGAAGCGATCTTCAGCCGAGCTCCTCTACTAATTTGAGGTTTTGCGTCTTGATGTGTCCGAATGGCTGATGGTTTTTTTTATTCATGTCCGAAATACCACTCGGCTACCGAGGCGACGTTCTTAAAACCTTCCAAATAATAAAAACGATTAGCATTATACGAATAGTATTATTTTAAATCGACAACTTAACACCAATGTATGCACGCTTTAAATTCATATAGTCTTTTTTCACACTATTATTTTCGTATATTTATGCTCTACAGTTACTTGTGAGATCTTCAGATTTATTATATTAAAATAATAGCGGCAGTAGTAATAGGGCTGTGCTTCATTAAGTAGTTAATTCCATTAATGTTCATTGGTAGTTAAGAGCGACATCCAAGACTTAAATTTTTTATTTACATTTACTATATTTTATTGTCATTTTGATAGAGAACAGATAATGGGCAGCATTCGTCGACATAAAAATGCTATGACTGCGTTGTGGGCCGACTATCACAACAAATATGATCAATTGGATACAATCGATGATTTTGATGACTTCTCCATTCGACGGTGAGCAGCTCAATTTAAACGCTTAGCCTTTTATTTCAAATAATTTACTTATTTCAGAAGAGAGGACGAAACCTCTAGAAATGGAATGTGTCAGAGCATAGTTCGTTACGCACGTCCACAAAAAGCTCGTTCCGCATCTGGGGAATGGAAATATATAGTAAATACTGGCCAACATACTCAAACATTACGTTTGGAAAAATGCATGTCAGTTTATATAAACTTGTAAAGCTTAAACATCTTTTACATCTATCTATTTATATATTTTCTTTAAATAGAGTACCGCAAGAGAGCTGTTCATATTTGTCAAAAGCCTATCACTCACAATGTGCTCAAATCTACAATTATCATCGTCTACTTAGTTGGGACCAGATGAGGGGATTACATGTGGATATCTTCAAAGTTCCTACTTGTTGTTCATGTCAATTAGTTGCATACTCTTCTTTAGCTGATACCAAATCAAGAGATTTTACTCCGTCATTGAATGCAGACGTTTATTCTACTATTAACGAAGAACTTGACTATAATGATGATCAAGATGAGGATGACTTAAGTTATCAAGTTAATAATGGAATTAGAAAAAAACATAAAAGACAAGACGTCGGCTTAATTAATAACCAGTTATTGCTTGGAAGTCAAATATCGAAGACTAAACTTCACACTACAAAACCGACCCTGGGTTCATATTTGAGTCCGCCCGGTGACGAAGAAAGCCGTGGCCCCTTTGATTATGTACATCCACACCACTCATCCTCAAGTTCATCCACCTCTTTCAAAAAGCAAATAATGGATGCCACACGTCGCCGACCTTTAAAAACCAAGGGCCCTTCTAATATATCCAATGAAGCACGTCTGGATTTGGACTTTTCGCCAAGCGAACTGCATCAGGAGCAAGAGGTAAACTTTTCAAGCGGCTTATTGGCCACAGCTAATAAGAGAGTTCTACAAAAAAGGCAACGTATTCATTCTGTGCTCCATACAGCTCCGGCCAGCACCCCACCAATATCAGCAGAATTCGGAGACGCAATTGCATCGGTTATCTCCAATTCCCCAGTGGCAGTCAGAGCTAAACCCAATTCGGCAACGACCAGTATCCGTAGAGTCGCCGAAAATAGAGGTGGTATTGCCACCAATGCCAACCAAGTTCCAACTTCAGATTCCTTCTACCTTTCCACTCTACAAAATCAAACCAACTTCAGCAATAAGGGCGGTGTTTACAGAAATAGGCAATTACTAAAAACCCAGAGTCCAAGATTTCGTTCGACCTCATCAATCACCTCTGCTACAACAGAAATACCGGGATCAACACAAGCAGTGAACAACAACAAAAATCAATGGAGCGTACACCAAAAATACCAAAAGCCTTTCGAAAAGTCTTCTAATATACCTTCATTTCATGGGAACTCAATTGACAGCAAAGAAAATAGTACAAAACTTGATGATGAAGCAAGACCATCCATTCGAATGTCATTTGGTCCCGGGGCAAAAAGAATAAACTATAGCTATCATCCCATCATCGATTTTTTCGAAAATCACAAATATTCTAACACTGCGGCCGCAATTAAAGCAATCGATGATCATAGAAAAAACACCAACAGTCAAGGACAATCTTATCCTAAAACCCGAGAGCTAGATCAACCGATAAGTTTGGTGGTCAGCTCGAAGAATAGTGAGACCAAACCGCTTTTGAGAGATATAAGTGGAGAATTTCGTGCAGATGACAATATTTGGCATCCTGTTATACTTAATTAGAACTAAAATCCATTTGTGGCAGTTGCATTATTATCGTAGATCGATATTTTATGAAATCTGGACGCATAGTTTCTCGCAACTTATGTTCTCTTTCCTGAAGCATTAATTAAATGTGGGGATCATGAATAAAAATTACTAGTGCTTAGATTATATCTTGCATTCAAAACGTTATTTTAATAAAAATTAATGTGGATATTAATTGGCACTAAACTTCTGTTAAAGACGATGAAAGTAATGGGCGTTAAGGCTTCAAGGCAAACTTCTCCTTAAAATATTATATTGCTCTGAATTTTTGTCATACTTTTATCAAATTTTTAATATTTTATATCATCAGGTCAGAGCTGTCTCAAATATATAAAACGATTTCGTAGTTGGATACTTATTCTATTGTATATTTTTCGGATATGACCCTTAATAACGTATGTATAAGCTTTTATCAATCAAATACCAGAATATGTAATTATTCATTTTAGCTCTTTGACCGTATTTAATTAGTTTATTTATTTATTCATTCATTCATATTTAATAATATTTAGGTGCAATATCAATAAATCGACTTTTAGATTAAGGAAATTCTGTTTTAAGAAATACAAATGTTTTATTGAAATTAATATGTCAGCAGTCACAAGACTTTGGACTGTTAGTCCAATAATTGGTTTACAATAATTATATAATAATAATTATATTTACATTGTATTGATACTTACTAGTAATACATATTCGTATATATAACTGAATACATAAAGATAAATAAATTGAATATTATTTTTAAAATGCTTTTATGACGTTAAAAATTGGTTTTTTACATGCTCTTTTTGAAATTATAGCTTCATACCATGCTAACTTAGTTTCTTCTTACTCGTTGGAACTCCTATTCAACAAATCTTCAAGTGACAATATAGAGAGGAAATTTTCATCAAATGTTTATCTTTCATAATCCTGCAAGGAAGAATAATAGTTATTAACTAGAAGGCTACTAGTAGACTATTCGTTCTTCTTCTATTATTACCGACTTACTTTTTAAAAAGGCAATGTCCTCCGAAATGTGAAATATTGGCTACTGCTGATAATAGTTTCATACTGTTTAAATACCAGTTCATTCATCCATGTCAATTTTCAGAAATAAAAATAAATTTGCCTGCAGCAAATCGTGAAACTGAAGAGCAGCACTAGCGGGCTAAAAATTAACTGAATACATCGATGGAGTGATTGATAAAAGTGGTATGATTTCATCTTTAAAATACTAGTATCTAACCAGCATAATATAGTTGCTTCTCAATGCTAAAAACTAGTTTGTATAAAATATTCACATTCTCCGTATATACTACATGTTCTATGTTACAAGTTCTTTTATAAAGTACCCTGCGAAAAACGAGACCGCTCCATTAAGGCGTGAAATATAATATATACATTACTAGTAGAACATAAGTTGAACATGATATTTATGATATATTAGTGATTAGTTGATAGTACTAAATATATAACGTATTTCAAATTGGGATCTTGTTCTATTTACATATATAATTGCTGCCGTGTAACTGGTGAGCTCCTCTTTGAATTTGTGGTCGGTGTCTTAATAGAGGGATCCACAGTTTATTCTAAGATTGATTATTATGAAAAACACAGTCGGAATCAGAAAAATTAATTTAATTTAAATTTATTTTTAGGTACAGTGAGACCCAAGGTATTTTGGTTTTCCACATATTAATTTAATCTTATGAATATTTATTAATAATTCGAGTAGCATATTCAAATAAGAGATAAAAATAGTTAACTGGCTCCAAAAGTACATTACGTATATAGGTAAGGAGAGTAAGGATGGATTTTAGAAATAGGTTTGTAACTGGCGTTTTGAAGCCTCCAATTGATTTTATACATTTTATTGAATAGCACCAATAAAGAGAATCTATAGATCGTCAAAGTATTGTATTTGGGTAAAAAAAATAAAAATTAATTTTCTATAATTTTGGATGTTGGTCGGACCAGGACTCCACTCCTTGCCATCCGATTGTTACTACGCAATGCTAACGACTACTGCGGTCGAATACAAACTTTAGCATGTCTTTTAAGCACTAGCAGAGCTCACCAACGAAACGAAACTGACTCAAGTTCACTTATTGCGCACATGCAACGGCGTTTAGTAGTTGTGATTATTAAAACACATCGGCTAACAATATTAGCGCGACGTTAGTTAGTCTAACTCTGCATTCAATGGGCTCTGCAATGGTCCATAGGGTAAACAAATTTTTGCAGGGAAGTTGTATTTTTTATATGCGGACCAACGATTTGCAATACTTTTAGAAAAAGGTTATTTCCTGAAAACCACTTCCGTTTTCCATAATTGTTCAGATAGTGAATAAGCAAGACAACGCATAGAGTAGTATGCATACATACTTATATACGTACATACATACATATATTCCATGCAGTTCACCATGATGAGTAGTTTGACTACGTCGAAAGTATGGTGCACTAGTGAAAGTTAATAATTTAGTGAAGAAAGTCATGCAATATTCTCTTTACATATTCGTTTTAATATTTTGCACTCTTCATGTGTTCCATGGTACGGAAGCGAAAGAAATATTTTTCAAAGCCCTGTCCGATAATGAAGTGCTCAATAGTACAAAGTTATTCGTTTGCAAGAAAGCAGATGACGTGATTCCCGATGGGAAAGAAAATCTACAAACAATTTCAACAGTGCTTTTGAAACGAGTACCAAGATCTTTGTCAAAGCCGTTAATAGTGGAAATATCCAAGACAAAAGTAGAAAACCAAATACTGGAACCCAAGCTTCCCGATATCAAACCGAGGGATTTAGTGTCATTCGATGCCCAATTTAAGCCGTTATCAATGTCAAATTCAGCGGGGCTAAATCAGCAAAGCATTTTGGCGTCTGTTAGGCAAACAAATCAATTAGTTCAGCAGAAACAGCAGATACATCCTACAAAAGAGCGTCAGAAAACACGAATAATGCACACGGTTATTATGAACAGAGCTAGTGAGCATAGCACTTTTCAACAAGGTAGTAATTATAAAGTTCATGTAGAGGACTGGCAAAGATCCCGAGTCCGTCGTGAAATAAGTGATAAAGGTGAAGATCATCTAAAATCTTCAGACACTCTCAAAAAAGCAAACTTTAATATTCATAAAGGCATTCTATTGTTAATACACCTGGATAATTTGTTGAAAAATGCCAATATATATTTGCCTGAAGAAGAAAACTCGAGCAGCAGCAATATAAATTACAGCAATACCGACAATGAAAAAGAAATTATTAATTGCGTATATAACAATACGAAGAGTTCTCCCAAACATTATATTTTGATGGATACTAGAAAATGTGAGCAAAGTCTTCTTTATAATGATGTCATGACAAATATTCGAAATATGATTAAGGACAAAAATATCAAATTTAATTAGACTTAAATAAAATAAATTGAATTATTTTCTTTAAATTAACAGACCTTATTATGTTATACATATACCAACGAAACGTATTCCATTAAAATGTAAATAAAAGTCAAGCTGAAAACAACCAATAATCTCATTTTTACAAGTGTCCACGATAGATTTGTAAATAAATGGTAAGAATAAGAGTGCTACTAGTGTGATTTACATAACATATATATAATTGGCTATTTGTAACCGCTAAACCGAAATTCGGTAAATATTTTCAGGGTGCTTGTTATTTATCTCGATGATCCGAACCTTTTGGATTTTGTTCTTGGCCCGGGACTGAGTACAGATATTAGTTGACATTTTTTACAAAAAATTCCTTGACTGAGTGCAGATATTAATTGTAATTTTTCACAAAAAAATTCCTAGATTTCGGTAGAAACAGATGTTTACAATGTCTCTTCTCAATTGGCGTGGGCATTGCTTATTCTCTTGCAACCGAGTCAGGAATAGTACGACAATCATTTTTAATTTTTGCTGTTTTGCTGCGGAGGTCCACATCTGCTGTAGACATACAATTACAGGCCTATTCTGTCGTGGTAACAAAATTTCTCTATGTATTAAAATTTACCATTCAGAATATTTGGTTACCATTTCGAGCTCCCTGTTACCCTGTAGGAGGTAACAATAATATCTCTAATGGGTAGGCATATTTTAGGCCTAGAATTCATTGAAGATGAAGAAAAAAGTGCAAAAGGTCGTATTTTAAGAAGTTTTCGAGACAAAAAATAGCCCCTTTTTATGTAAGATATCGTTTTCATTCAGCTTTTTTTTGTTGTCCAGGCATATTTTTCATATTTAGGTTCAAATATTTATAATTTAATTTTTTGTGCTCCGTCTTCCATTTCAATGTGAACTTTTTTCTTTTTACTTTATCAACTGGCAAATGTAATTTGACATGGAAGAAAAAAACAGTGCTGTCAATTTTTTTTCAATTATTGTAACCAGTTCGCCAGAATACCAAATTCAATTTCGGGTGCTAAAGAAAAGTATCAAAATTTACTTTACCGGTAACAGTGAGAATAGGCCTGTTAGACGAATAAAACTTTTGTCGTGGCAGAGGTCTGCGCATGACAAATATCACGACTTGTGATATGCTATGATATAAACAATTAGTATTTATGAAATATGGGAATTTACTTTGGGCATTGCCATCAGCTTACGATATCACTTACATAAAACTACATACATATGAACTTATTCATATAATATGTCCCAACAGATATAGTCTTTGTATAGTAAAAAAAATAACGGCGTTATTACAGTGTACGCGTTTTATGTACATTAAAAACATTTTGCTCTTCAGTAACTTCCGTTTATATATAAAACCCCATAACGCGATTATTTTTTTTGGTTATTATCAGGCCTATTCTCACTGTTACCGGTAAAGTAAATTTTGTTACTTTTTTTAACACCCGAACTTTGGCAGCACTGCTTTTCTCGTCCTTGTCAAATTACATTTGCCAGTTGCTAAGGAGAAAAAGAAGATTATTCTCATCGAAATGGAAAACGGTGCACAACAAAATAAATATCTTTTATATATTTGTTTATTAAATCATAAATATTTGAATCTAATTTTGAAAAAATATACCTAAACGACAAATAAAGCTGAATGAAAACGGTATCTTCCAAATTAAAAGGGCCATTTTTTTCTCGCAAACTGCTTGGCATACGCCATTTTACACATTTTTCTTCATCTTCAATGAATTCCGGGCCTGAAATATGCCTACCCATTTTGCTTTTTATTTTTTCTCAAACTAACAACACAAAATCAAACAGCATATTTTTTTGTTACATCCCATTTCGATGGTAACAAAATTTACAGGGTGACAGTGGACTCAGAATACGAAATAGTAACAAAATTTACTGAATGATAAATTTTAATACCAAAGTCAATTTTGTTACCTCGACAGAATAGGCCTGTATATATGTAAGACTTCGAAATACCGATTTCAAAATACAGAATTTATTATTGAAATAAAAAATTAGTAGTTACCGTTATTTTTCTCAATTTCGTCGTAGTATCTACATTATTCATTTAATGCTATTAATCAATTCATTTCATTGAATTTTTAAATATCATTCTCCGTCGTTTATTAAAAAAGAATATGGGAGTTTGTTTATTAAAATCATTGAGAAAGAAAATTACAAGCAGAAGAAATGCCTTTGACTGGTCTATACAAAAATTGCCAATAGTAAAAGCTACACATTTTTTTGGGAACTGTATTTATACACTAGTCTAAAACTAAACGAACATTGCGGCAGGCACAACCCTTTCTTCTATAAGCTCCCACTACCAATAGAAATGCATGCCCATACATTCATGTGTACACACATCACTCTAGTAAATTTTAGATGGGTGGATATTTTCAATCGAAGTGAAGAGGTTATGTGTATGGATTCTTTTAATGAAAAAAGAAAAAAGAAAGTAAATGGTTAATAAATCCTAATTTTTTTTCTGTTTAACATTATATTCAATGCATAGCTTGAAACTTTTGCTAACTTACTTCTTAGTTTTCACTAATTTATTTTAGGAAATTTATAATTAAATTAAAATGCACTTTTAATAATATACATATTATATATAGATTGATAATGAATCTTTTGAATTTTCAGTACTGAACCCACGTCTTCGGCACTTTGGTCATACATAGTATAATGAAATACATAACTCAACACTGTCAACTCCTGAGCAAACATATTTCAAAACCGCGGAATTTTTGTAAATATATATATATATATTGTCGGGATTTTTTCTTGTTTCTCACTTTTTCTGTAAATTGAAATAATAATTCTAATGGAAACGAGTAGTAGCGCACTTTTCTTAATAAAATGTAGTCAGGATTTTGTGCTGTCTGGATATTGTGTTACGTGAAACTAAACAACAAGCATTAATTTAAGTTTGGAAGAGTGGATATCACTGAATACTACATTGAGAAGGGCCATGGGTACAAATCCCAGCCAAAGCAGCAATCAAAATTAAAGACAGTGTTTTTTCTAAAAGGGGTTGCTTTTTTGGCAAGGAAAGTGACTCCGAGTATATTTCTGTCATATAAAAGTCTGTAAGCGGTTGGAATGCTATGGGTGGAACCCTCTTATTAAGAATTTGAATTTAATTCCAATACCATACTTTTGCTACTGGGATTTAAAATTATGCATAAACAAAACTCACAAGGTTGTATACACAGTACTAAAACTAAAACAGTACAAAAACAAAGGCCAGAATCAGATATAGAGACCTTGATGAGGCTTTTAAATAAAGTTAAACAAAAAAGGAAAAGCTATTATCGTTTGGAAGCGAGAATTCAAAATCTAGTTGGAAGCGGTCGTGGACATACAAGTGGCTCAAATTGTTTATGGCGGCAGTTAATAAGATATGTTTAAAGGTTACATGTACATATTTTGTTCCCAAATTTTGTACAGACGAAGTTTCTCTGCCTTAATGATTCCGCATGCCAAAATTGATATTCTCAATTGCTTTGTTACTGAAATATGGCAGGTGATTAGTGAAACTGAAAATAGAGTAGAGCAGGGAACTTAGAATAATTGCAACTGACGAGAGAACTTAGAGTAATTCTAAGGAAGAAATAAGATATTTACTGATAGATGAAAACAATACAATTTTTGTGAACAGTCATTATGTAGGTATATTTACTATACTTTTCAACCTACATATGTGTCATTATTCTAAGTTCTCTGGCAGCTCAAGTTCGAGGAGCTGCCAAAGTGAATTTATAGGGGAAGTTGCCACATCATATGATTGCTTGTTCTTCCTTCCATTTCAACAAATTACACAAACAAAATACATGTGTAATAGTTTTTGACCTTTCGTACGTTCGATTACACAAACCAAATACATAGGCTTTTTGTTTTAGTGTTCCTAAAACCGGCAGAAAAATCGCTTCAGCGGTTACAAAGCGTCAATTATATACATATATTTACATATAATATATATATACAACCGTATATGAATTTGCCTTGGTAGCTGCGAAGAAGCAATAGCGCAAGTAAGATCAACTCCATGAAGAAATCACACTCACACTTTTCGGGTATCAATTTTGAAATGCAAGTGTTCGATATTTCTATGTAAACAAAATATAAATAAAATATTTAAGTTTTTTTATTTTGCTTATAAAAGGAATACACTTTTGACTTTTAGTTGCTTGCTTTGCTTTGAACATTCCTAATCTCATTCTGGACTCTTTCGTTTTCAAATCCCGTCTGGAAAAAAAAAATCTTATTCCATTTTCGATTTTTTTTTATTTTTTATTGCCGAATCCATCGCTAACGCGTTTATAACCATATCTACAATAACACGCCATTCGTTCTTTCTTTTCGCTATTTGGCGCCAGTTGGACCTAGGTCGCTCTCCACCGGATCCTTCAAACGGAGTGAGGGCGTTCCTCTTCCTCTGCTTTCTCCAACAGGTACAGCATCGAGTTCTTTCAAAGGTGGAGTTCCGCTGGAACGAAAGAAATTTCGCAAAACTTTTTTCTCGAATACTCTCAAGGCCGACTCATCTTATATCGACAACGATCTCGCTTTGAGAGAAAAGTTTTGAGAAATTTCTTTCGTAGCCATGTAGCAGGACGGGAATGGTAAATGATTTGTAGAGTTTGGTTATTATTCGCCTAAAAATACTCGCATACTTGTGATTATAAATTGATTCCACTGTAACCGTTAAGTGAACGTTATTAACTACCGTTGTTTCTACCAGTACTGGTTATAAAATCTTGTAATTAAGTAATTTTCTTAGAATTTCCATTGTTTAACATTTCTAGAACGACGTGATCGTCATTGCAAGAGCAAATATACATTTTTTGTAATGAAGACAATTGAGGGTTTGCAGCGAACAAATTGGCCAGAAATAAGATATACATACGAGTACATACAAATGTATTATAAAAGCGAAGAGCAACGATATCAGTTTGCTAGTTGCAATCGTTAAATATTTTTGCCACGATTGAATAAAATAGTTGGAATTATTTAAAGGACTTTAATCTTCAATAAGCCACAAGAAATCAAAATGAATTGTTTTAAATGCAGGAAGTTAATTAAATTTTTTTGTTATTTATTAATAAGTCTAACGCAAGCAGTACCAAACCCTAAACAAATCAATCAAGATTATATTACACCCAGGGAATTAGATGATTTGAGCAGTGGCACCGAAACTGAAAAGGATGACTCACAAGGATCTTTCTCTGTTGGTTATGGATACTACTCACACCCTTACTTGGGTGGCGGCTACTATGGAGGATATTACCCTTTCTATAACGGTATTTATGGGCAAGGTAAGACTATTTTAAAATAATAATCTACATGCCTCTTAAAAATATGATTGTTTCGGGAAATAAATTATATAACATTAAACAAATGTTTTACATTTAACTTGTGGCACAACCACTTCCAAAATAATTAATTATTATGTGCTTGATTTAAAAAAAATACCGATGCACCGAAAAACAATCAAAGTAGAATTTTGTTATTTTATTATTCTGATATTCTTATTTTTGTAATTTAAGAAATAGAAAATAAAATATATTTAAATTATTTAATTAGAATTTTAATGGAATTTTAACAAATTACCTAGGCTATCCATACTATGGTGGTTACTATGGAGGATATCACGGTTTCCATGGACATTATTGGTAGAATGAAATACGTACATATTCGTTCATATGTGTATACACACATATGTATGTATATTAAGGTGCAGATATAAAAAATGCATAATTTGTTCAGGTACTTACATACATACATACCTACATATGTTTGCTCTAAATTATGTGCCTATATACGTATGTATGTATGTATGACTAACTGAATATACTCGATTAAGCAAATAAGTAATCTTATGTAAGTACATCCTTAGGTGTGTATATATATAATGTTCATATCCTATTCAAATTGATTTTAATCGCTGTAAATAAAGGAATAAAATTCGGGAAATTGTTTGTAAATATTTTTTCCTGTTCCATTATTTAAATGTATATTATGGAATTCGAAACAAAAGTAAATACGAGTTATGACTGTGTTTTTATGCTAATTAATTCTTGAGTTATTCATATTAATAACATCCCCGCCGTATATGTATATATAAGTTGCTACTGATTTAAAATAAAAAGATTACAAATCTTCATACATATGTACCTAAAGAACTATCATCAAAGTCAGTTAACAGAATAGAAAAAAATTATTGTTTTAAGCATTAATTATCTTTGAAATTATATGGTATAAGAACAGAAAGTATTTTGGGCTATTTGGGCTCTTATAGAATAAAAGGTTACTTCAAAAGTGAAATCATATGTTTAATGACGAAGTGGGTTCATTTTTATTTGTTGCCGGAAATTTCGAAATAATTTTGCATAATTTTATCTATGAAACTGCATCACATTTTCACTATAAAACTCTAAAGCCTTACATTAAAACTTGTTAACATTAATAACAATGACAAATTTAAAAGTTTTGAATGGTTGTATGTCGAACAAATGTATTTATGTTTTCAAAAAGTTTTAAATTATTGAAAATTATTATTATTTGAAACAAACTCTAACGTTTAAAATTTTCAAAATACTAAATTCGTGTTTAAAATATCGAGTCGATGGAAAAGTGTGCAGTGGGCTAATGTGAACCAAAATTAAAAAAAAATGTGTGTAAGTAATTTATATTAACATTTTCTAAGAAATCACAGCAAGCATGCGATATTATAGCACATTATTTAACCGTCCCATTTCATAATTATAATAATAATATAATTTAATGATAAAATTTTTAAAGCTGAAAACTTGAATTCATCGGATAGTTAAATACCTAATATATATGCAGGAGAATAGTAATATATATTAATGATATGAATACATTGCTTAAATTTTGTTTTACATATTAACGCCACCGCAGCAGTATCTTTGTGTAAAGCTCTTCTTCATATTTTTTGGTTTACGGCCGCCTAGACCCTGGCTCACAGGCTACAAAGGCTTGTACAATATCTTGTTGTTAGCTCATTTTTGTGCTATTTTTTTAGTAAGGAAAATCATCAAATCTAAGACTGTGGTGGCGTTAATACGTATGTAAGTACCAAAAAAAGTTTGCATACTTTTTGGTTTCTTCTGTATAAGAAAATGTTTTCCATATTTACATCTGTTTTTATATAAACATTTTGTAAACAAAGTTTTTTTCATTGATATAATTATCAAGTCCTGCCCACTGTATATGTGACGAAGGTGGTTCGGTTACTTACTTACTTACTTTACTGGCGTGGACACCGCTTACGCGCGCCATTCGCTAGGCGTCCTTCTCAACCTGGTCTTTCCAATGAATCGAAGGTCTTCCCCTTCCTCGGTTTCCACGCCGGGAACTGCATCAAAAACTTTCAAAGCTGGAGCACCCATATCCATCCGTACCACATAACCTACCCATCGTACCCGCTGCTTCTTCGTTCGCTGAACTGTGCCAATGTCGTCGCATAACTCGTACAGCTGATAGTTCCATCGATATTCGCCGTTGCCAACGCGCAAAGGACCATTAATCTTACGCGAAACCTTCTCGTAACACCGATTCATCAGATGTTGCCATCTTCAATGCTTCCGCACCATATAACAGGACAGGAACGATGAGGGACTTGTAGAGTTTGGTTTTCGTTCGTTGGGAGAGTCTACAGTGGCACCTGTTGGCAAGAGTGGTTCTGTGCTGAATTTCAAGACTAACATTATTATTGGAGTCTTACCATCATTCACTACCAGACCAATATCCTTCGCTTCCTTATCCAATCTGGGGGAAAGCAAAACTCATGTCGCGGCTGCTGTTACTTGTATTATTTTCTCCAGGAATAAGTCACACGATAGTGAATCACCCTGTCTGAAACTTTGTTTGGTATCGAACACCTCGGAGAGGTCCTTTCCGATCGTGATGGAACTTTTAGTGTTGCTTAACGTCAGTTTACATAACCGTAAAAGGGTATACCAAATTCAGACATAGCGGCGTAAAGGCAGCTTTGTGCATTCGTGCTGTCGAAGGCGGCTTAAAGTAGACGAAAATGTGGTGGGTGTCGATCACGGGTATATTTCAAGATTTGGCATATGGTGAATATCTGGTCAATGGTTGACTTACCAGGTCTGAAACCACACTGATAAGGTCAAATCAATTGGTGACAGTGAGTTTTAGTCTTTCACACAATACGCTCGACACGACCTTATAGGCGATATTAAGGAGGCTTATCCCACGATAATTGACGCACACTGAGGGGTAACCTTTTTTGGGTTGGGCAGAGCATACTTAAATTTCAAACGTCGGGCATGCTTTCGTCCGACCATCTTCTGCAAAGTAGATGAGGCATGCACCTTGTCAACTCTTCACCGCCATGTTTGAATAGCTCTGCCGTTAGACCGTCAGCTCTAGCCAATTTATTGTTTTTTAAGCGGGCGATTGCTATTTGAACTTCTTCATTTCATTTCGGCGTCTTTCTTTTATTATCAGCAGATGCCTTCCTCTTCAGCTCTCGGTATCTATCCCATTCCGCACGTGTGCTGGTCAATCGCAATATTTCGAGGTAGGCAGTCTGTTTTCTCTCCACTGCGACACGGCAGTCCTCATCGTACCAGCTGTTTTTGTGACCTTTGTGAATTTCAATAGTCCCGTTTGCAGCTCTACGTAAAGAGCTTGAAATGCCGTCCCACAGGTCCCGTATACCGAGTTACTGATGAGTGCCCTGAGAGAGTGATTGCAGCTTTTCGACGTCGAACTTTCCTTGTGTTTGTTGACAGGCGTTCTCCGATACATGCAAGCGCATGCGTACCTTCACTGCAACAAGACTGTGGTCCGAGTCGATGTTGGGTCCTCAAGAACACTGTAGACACGTCTTCCGTCTACCACAACACGGTCGATCTGGTTTTGTGTTTTTCGATCAGGGGACAGTCAAAATGTAAAGGCTGAATTTTTCAACAGTTGTATCAAAGGCTCACCCTGGCAATAAAATCGCGAGACCGGGGTGAATTCCCGTACTCGACGACAGAGTCTCTCTCTCCTATCACAAATCAAATACCAAATTTGACTTTATATGGCCGCTGTAATTAATGCCACAAGAACCTACTCGCTTTCGTCCTCGCCCTGTCTATCGCACTTCTTGGACGGCGGCGATTTCAGCCTTTATTCTTACGGGGACTTCAATCAGCTAGGCAGCGGCAGGTTCCCAACTAAGGTACCGGACATTCCAGGTGCATGCAACCAAATCGTGATCCTTAATTCGTTTGCGGGGTCGTCATCAGAAAGGGAGTATCTCAGCCGAGGCGTTGTGAAACTTTTCATTGGTACTGGTTTCTACATTTACATATCGAGCCTCTTGCTTCAAAACCAACGCCTCTTCACAGCCGCACTTCTGGTGAACAGACGCTACAATTAGACTTCAGCAGACCCTTAAACCGAATAAGTCGTAGTGGCTCCAAAGAAGCTTCCTCTCTTATTAGCCGTGACCGAAGACCCAAGGCTCTACCCGAGTTGGTTACCGCATCTTGCACAAGGGTTACTCACGTTTCCAGGATGTGCGACATGGACGCAAGAGTAGGAATTGAGTATAGCCTCGCAGCTTTAACAAGATATCCAGAAATAACCCCAGAAAACTACACAAGAAAGCTTTCAATAACAGTTATTGGACAAAACTCTGGCATAATTTCTGCTCATCCATAGAAATTCGCAAGAAATATATCAGGCTTAGTAAAATATTATGCAAAGAACATACTAATTACGTAATATACGTATATTAGGACGCTTAATAGAAGGGAATCCGCGGCCACTTGTGAGATAGCGGGCTGATTTGACAAGACAAGATATAAGGACCATTAAATAGGTCCAGATTTGTAACAACTTTACTTTTATATACTTTATTATAAAAATATTTAAATGTATTTGAATTGTCTTCTTAGTTCGTTGCGTGTGATTCGTTTCGCTCTAGTATTATATAATGACTGTATTCCATTATCCCCTTGCTAGGGTTTTGTGTTGTCGTAGGTACTGAGTATGCACACGTTATTATTAGAAGGTTTGCTCACTACGTATTGTCCTATTATCGGTTCCCACATATGTATATAGACTTACATCTTCAATAACGAGGTATGCCTCTTTTGAGAGCATACACTTAAAATTGGTCTGCTCTATAACTGGAAGGTATTGAGTAAATGTGATTACTGTATGCTGATAGCTGATATATAATGATCTTAGGAAAGTACCCCAAAATGGCGCGTATAGTGCTAATTTTGTCCAAGGCTCAAATCTCTTGGACATCACCTCCGTTTACTTGACTTATATCACGGCTTCACCATCGCACTCAATATTAATACAAGTTTTTTTTTAGTCACGGTTTTCATTGGAAGCAACGAAGGTGATTCTACCTAATCAACACATCCAAGCGTATTTGTTTCTAAGAATATCTTATAAGAAAGGGAAGGCAGCTCAATTTTACGATAATCAAAAATTAAAAATCGCTTTGGTTCGAACATTTCTAAAGATAATAGACCAAAATAAATCTTGTTAAACATTCTTGGAAGCTACGGAGGTGATTCTACCTAAGCAACACATCCAAACGTATTTGTTTCAGATATTCTTTGAAATAAGGCAGCTAAATTTTACGATAATCAAAAATTAACAATCACTTTGGCTGAAACATTTCAAAATATTATCTTTAGACCAAAATAAATCTTGTTAAACATTCTTAAGAACCATAGCGTTTTTATATAGTCGTGGAATATTAACAAAGTAAT